CGGCCAATGCTTCCTGGCAAGTGGCCGGCACACAAAGCGTGCTTGCACCGACCACAACATCGAAGCCCTTGCCCTTGGTCAGTCATCCCTTCAATGCCTCTGAGCCAAAAAAAAACATTAACATTCTTTTCAAGCGAGAAGTTCAAAACTGTTTGATTGTTGAAAATGATAATAACTGGATCCTTGTTTTCATTCTTATAACAGGCGCTATCCCCAAGAGCACCGTGCAATGGAGATTTCCTGCACCACTGGGGCCGGTTTTCTGTCAAACCTTTTAGCAGGATTTCCAGAAGGAAATACAATTCTTCGTGTGGTTCTATTTCGTTGGTTCCACATTTGGATGGATGATATCAGACGCATCGCTCAGGCTTGGACGCAGGCGAACAAGACGAAGACTGCGTTGATGGGTGGGCTCGTGCCTCAGACTGAGCCCGTGTGCAGCAGTTGCAAGAATGCGAGCAAGCGCGCAAATCACCAGCAGACAGTGGCATGCAAGCGCGAGCAGTGAATATGCATTGCCTTCGGCCGCCGCGGCGGCCACTTTCAAAACCTTGCCGCGCCAAAACAGGAAGGTATCTATTTATCCATCTATCTATTTATCGATTTCTTTTTATCTATCTATTTCTATCTATCTATCTATTTATATATATTTATCTATCTATCTATTTATCTCTCTAGCTATGTATTTCTCTATCTATCTATGTCTCTCTATCTTTCTATCTCTCTATTTCTGTATTTCTTTATCTATCTATATCTTTATTTCTCTATCCATCTACCTATCTATCTATCTCTTCTTTCTATCTCTATTTTTATATTTTTATGCATCTATGTCTTTATCTATTTATCTATATATCTGTCTGTCTATCTTCTAGATGATTATACCTCTCTTTCTTTTTTTATCTATCTCTCTATCTCTGTTTCTTTATGTTTCTCTATTTCTTTCTACTTCCATGCAATTCAATCCTTGGATCTTACGAACCACGAAAATGCTGCTCCTACCACGGAATCTTTACTTGACCTTGCGAAAGTGCTGCGCCTGCAACGAGTTTACACGGGGTGTCTTACACGGGGTCTTGTTTTTGCGGGCCCTTTTGTTGGGTTGCTCCACAAAGGATGCAGGGAACCTGCTTATTCATTTCCGTGATCTCTTGAAAGCTTCAACCCATTGAAGATCATAGTGTTGGTCACAAGATCATTGTTGTCATTCTTGAGGCAAGGCTTCTTAGATGCAGATTGACGCATCGCGCGCTGCGCGAAGCCGCGCTGGCAGCGCGCGTCCTCGACGCGGCCGGCCTCCGACCTTTGTGGCCCTAGAGATTTCCAAAAAGAAAACAACAAAGGATGGCAACGGCCAGCCGCTTCCGCAACCTGCAGCATAGGGAGCGGGAGGTCATGCCTGATCTTGAGCAAGCTTCGCAGGCGTTGTTGCGGTCCGAAAGCGGTGCCCAAGCGTCTACGGCCACGCCATCCGACCCGCGGTGCCTGCAGGAAGGGCATGCGGTTCCTGGACGCCCTGCTCGATTTGCCCGACGTGCAATGCGCGTGGCTACTGCTGCTGCTGTATTGCGCTGCTCCGCGGGCACAGCACCTTCTGCGCACGTTGTCGCTGTCGCTGGGCTGATGAAAAAACATACAGGTTAAAACATTTCAAGGATACTGGTGACAGTAGGGGTGAGATTGACGGCCGGGTCTGTTTGCGGGCCCTTAAATGGTTTTTCCTGGAGGGGGGCAGAGCCAGGTTGCTATCTGGGGTGTATGCCGGGATTTGTTTTTCTCCACGCACCTTTTTCCTTTGCAGTACGTTTTGTTCCAAAAGCACCCTATTACGGACAAATACACCGAGTCCGCCGCGCTTGCGAAAGGGCAGCTTCGGCAGGCGTTGCCTTTTGCGTTGGGGGCATTGAAAATGCTGGACAAAACGCTGTTGCTCTGTCCCGTGCCTGGGCTCTCTGGCTCTTGCTACCTCGCATGTGCTTTGCCGCCAGCGTGTGCTTTGCAAACCTGAGTGGCGCGACCGCGTCTCCGCTTTCAATGCCGGCCGCTGAAAGCCAACTTGGCCGGGGTGACGGCCCCGACTTCCCCTGTCCGCTTCGTCGCAAGCTTCGCCCTCGTGGCCGGCCCGCTGGCCACGCTCACTGAGGCACGTCGCCGAGCAGCGGCCCCTCCTCCCCCGTGGGCAGGGGTGGCGGCACAACGCTGAGCAGGCCCCACCAGCGGCGGGGCCAGCTCACGCGTGCCTGCTGGCGCAACGCCGGCGGCGCCCGCCGCGCACGCAGGCGAGCGAGACGCCGGAGCAGGGCGACCGCAGCACCGTGCCACCGCCCGCCGTGGACAGAGCGACGCCATCGCGCACTGGCGCGCTTGCTTGAGGGCGTCCTAGCGTATCCAACGGGCTGACCAGGGTGGCATCGCAACACGACGCCTCGCCTCGCTCATGCACGACCAGATCCAGATGGATGGGGAGAAGTTATCTGCGTCACCTTTACACCTGTGGTCTCTTCTTATCTGTCTCTCCCTCTATGTATCGTTCGCTCTCTTTTGTGCGGAGTGCCCCCATTTGACGCTGCTGATTCGGAACGCCTTTTATTTTTCGCGCTCTTTTGTGCGGGGTGCCCCTGTTTCACGCTGCCTGCTTGTGCGCGACAGCTTGCTACCGCGCGTTGGAGTATCCAACGGCGATATCAACTGCGCCGCTCTAAAAATGAAGACAGCTGTCAGCGCACACACTGCTGCCTCGCCAAGGCCTGTGACCGAAGCCTGAACCAACTGTGAAAGCAGCTGCCAGCGCACATACTGCCTCGCCGAGGCCTGTGACCGAAGCCTGAACCAATTGCGCTGAACTAGGGGACCGAAGCCTATACGGGTCACTCACAGTGTGCGCGCCTTAAACTCCGCAGATAAGACACTACTCGCGCTACCTTGTTCAACAAATATGGATGAAGACAAGAAGGTGGCCCACGCTTTTGCCATCCGTGTAATGTTGCACACCACAAGTCGCACGAACGCTGCTGGAAAAAGCTCCCCTTAAACATGCGATGTCCATATATCGCTCGCAGTCAACCTATCTACCTCGTAAACATTTCCCTTCATCGTTTCTGCCTTGAGTATCTGCTTCAGCCCGTATCAATATGCCTACCTAGCAAACTATGCACGGATAACCTATGCCCTGAACAACTTCACTTAAATTCATGGTACAAAGAAACAAGGCTGAAACTAGGGCAAGCATTTTTGAGGAGAAGTTATAAAAGATGGGATGGGAGTATAAATTCAAAGCAGGACCAATAATCAGATTGTATCCGTTATCCAGTCCGTTATCTAAGTGATTCGTGATCCATCGTTTTTTTTTTTTTTTTTTTTTTTTTTTTATATAAACTGCCCTGATTAATTCAATCCGATGATGTAAAAAACAATCGGGGATGATAAAAACAAGGTCGAAAACAAAAATTCAATAAGAAATTGAACAACTTCTGCCTGTTACACACCAAAGCTGCTATCGAATGCGCCAAACCAAAGTTTGATGGTTAACAAAACCAAGGCCGAGGGTGAAAAAGGGGGGGGAGGAGGGTGAAAAAAAGAAAAAAATCGAGGTGGAAAACAAAAAAGAGAAAAAAAAGGGTCAAAAGAACCATTTCAAGGATTAGAAAAAAAAGATTCCTAAGGGTTAGAAAAACAAGATCCCCGTTAAAAGGTTCCAAACAGCTCAAAAGGTTAAAACAAAAAAAAACCAAAACAAACAAACATTAAAAAACAAATATAAAAGATAAAAAAAAAAAAAAAAAAACAAAAAAGAACCCATCGCTATATATCTCTAAAATATTAACATAAATCGTTCTTCAAGATTTCATAAACAATTATTATATTCCATATACAAATATTTACTTAAAACATATATATATAGATTTTCTATAAATAAAATAATTATATATAAAATCAAATTATTATCAAATCAAATTCCAATATTTATAAAATAGAAAATCCTAATCAAACAAACCCATCATTAACACCTCAATTTTTTCTTATATATCATCAATTAACAAAGCAAAAAAAAAAACCAATAATTTATCCAATTATCAAATCTTATAAATCAATACTCTAAAATAAATATAATTATACATAAACAAAATCTAAAATATTCAACATCAAAAACAAAATTCTAAATTCCAATTCCTATTCCAAGCCAAAAAAAAAAACAAAAAATACAATCATATATTCAATCATTCATTTATTCCATCTTTTTTTTTTTTTTTTTTTTTCATAAATAATTTATCTCAATCCATCTCACCTTTCCATATCCCTTTCTTTTTTGTAAAATTCTCTTCCAATTTCATTCTATTATAAATTCAAATAATCATCTATTATCCAACATCCATTCTATTCATTCTCTCATTCAAATAATTTACTCCTTCCCCAACTCATTCATTCCCTACATCACTCCACTTTCACAATTTAAAACTTCTCTAATCAACACTTATAATCAATTTATTCAATATTACAAAATATAAATTTATATCATAAGAAAAAATCAACCTACTAAAAATATTACACCTACCACAAATTTAAATAATAATTTAATTATCATAAACAAAAACCACAATCAAAAAAAACAATCGAATATTTCTAATATTGCAAACAAATTATATTAATTATATATATATATAATAAATAAAATAAAATTAAGCATATAAACTATTCAACACTATCAAGTGTTTTCTTTAAATTTCGTCACAAATACATCCTTTTCAAACTTTACATATCTCAAATACTAACACACGCATTTCCAGATATTCGGGAAATATGTTGATATAAAATGAATATTCTTGAAATTGGAATAGTAGTCAATTTTATGTTGATTCTGGATCACGCCCATTTTGCGTCCTGGCTCGTTTCTATAATCGAGTCAAGGGACTATCATTTTTTTGCAAGAGGGCGGCGCAATGAAAAATCCTTCTTTCTTTCATGTGAAGCACAAAACAGCTATGCGCTAATGTCGCAACCCAGCCTTACATCAGGTGTGCCGGGTTGGCGAAGACCCCGCGCTGCCAGTTCCTGCTCTGCTCGAAGTCTCCCGGCAACTTTCGGCAAGATTCTTACAGGCATCGTGTGCACACAAAGCACCAATACCTTAGGCTACACCGACAGACCAGAAAGTATTCCGTGCTTTTTTCCTCACGTTTGGAATAAATCCGGCAAGCCGCGCGGGCGAACCATGTCATGTTTTTTTAATCCAGGGTTGCCTCAGGCACGCATACAATTGTGCTTTTGAGACCCGTCAGATTCCGTGAAAAACCAGCAGGGAAGAACAACACACATTCTTATGCAACTGGAAGTAATGTCTCCGAGCTGCACACTCTTTCACTTGTTCAGGTCTCCATCTTCTACGACGGTACGAACGACTCACCCTGCCCCAGCAACTGCTGTTTCGCAACATTCAACCGTCTAAAAAACATCCCATTTGCATCGCTTGACGCCCGCCTCCAGGATGCATGCCTTGTAATCCTGCCAAAATTGCATTTTTTGTTTTTGAGGGCCTGATTCAACAGCGCCATTGTTGGCAGCTGGAAGGAACCCACAAGTACAAGATATCACCACCACGGTTTACAGGAGAATACAACACCTTCGAGGAATGGAAATACAAGATGACAGCATACTTGGGACTGCAAGACCCAGCATACAACGGACGTCAGAGCAGTAGGACAAGTTACAAACAACCAACTGGAGAATGCAGCACCTTCACAACAAATGGCAGAGCTCAGCAACAACCTACACTACCTCTTGGTGAGCACATGCGATGGACCAGCATCTACAATATGCAGACAAAACGTGCAACCATACCTCTTGGTACAAGAAGCATTGGGTACCTTACACGAAGAGAGCTTCGCAACATGGGAGCTCCAACTCTTCTACAACAACACCTACAGCTTCAAGCAGGAAACAACAAAATAGCACAGATCAGATCGACGGTGATCGAGTACTACAGAGCAACAGCATTATTGACCAGGCTGCAAGCGATTACATCAGGGAACAACAGCCAAGGACCGGCAATGATGGACATAGGAGCAACATGGTACAACAAAGGCAAGGATACAACAGCTACAGCTACAACCACTACGCAGGAGGAAAAGGCAAGTGCAATCAACAACCGGTTGGACAAACCCTTTCAAAGGACAACAAGGATATGGCAAAGCGAAACGATGAGGATACTGCAACAACCAACAAAGCATGCAACAAATGTTTGCTACAGATGTGGACAGCAGAGCGGCGACCTACAACGACACCAGAGCCTTCGATACCAATGATCAGACAGATGACTGGCACAGTCAGGCACACTACTACAACAACTGGTACCACCAGGACCAGACACAGATGCATCAACCAGCGTTACCACAACCATCACAGGCAGCAGATCCATCAACAGTACCCATCTCAGGATTACATGAAGTAACAATTGCCATGATTATGATTGACAGCGGTGCAGCTGGCTACGCATGTATGCCCGCCATGGTTTGCACCACAATTCCCGCTACACCAGCTGGAACATGGAACTGGACAGTGACCAACCAACACATCAAGCTTTTCGGGTACAGATGGCATGACAAACCACAGCGGACAACAAATTGTCAAAGCGTTTGTTTGATAGCACCGACCACGACGCTTACACCACAAGGTCCAGGATATGCAGGAGACTACTGGCAGTTCAACACAAAAGGCGAACTTGTCAGAGCAGGACGACACTCTTCACTCCATCAAGAACACAGTGTCCAGTCCCAGCAGAACAACTTGAGGACTACAGGAGAACAACCATCAGATTCAAGGAGGGTACAACGAACACGTTTGAGGGCAAAGAAGGTGTACGAGAAGAAGATTACCGTGTTCAACAGGGGTTACATTGGACAAGTCTTGCAGTTACATCAGGGGTGTACATGAACTTTGTCAGCCATTGAACAAGCATCGGGTTTGTTCTACAAGGTGACAGGCCACATCACAAACCTCTACATGAACTACAACCTGACCAAGAAATACATGATCCTACAGCACATGATCATTTCAGTACAGATGGTTTTGGACACAGAGGATCCACTTGATCGAGTACATGCTGGAATTTCGATGGCCTTGAGCTATCACACCTATTCTGCGATACAGGCTATCAGTGAGCCATTGAATGATTCCTGGACAAGTTGGTTACAGCGACCAACAAAGTGCAGTTGTCCTTGCGCGACAGGAAGGATACAGGTTGCTGAACAAGAAGAAGATTACAGGCGAAGGCGCTTGATGAGTACATCAAAGTACATGCCTACGAAGGCACACCGCATTTCATGGTACATTTGGACCGACAGCTAGGGACATCGTTGCAGAGGAGGTCTGCATACTGGAGATCAGTTTTACATGCAGCTATTCTTACATCATCCCGATCCAAAAGGTCACTTGTACTTTTTGCAAAGTGTGCTGACCCCAGCACAATTTTAGAAGGGGTGTTAAGATACACCATCTGTGTACAGCTTGCAGTACATGTGGCAACCGCTACATGTCTGGTACAAGGCCTTGAGCCTAGCCCATGCGTGAGACACAAAAGGTTACAACTGTGCCGAGTCGTTCACATCACAGGTTAACTCATTCACACTACAACAGGGTTACACAGTGCAGTCTGACTTTAACAGAGGGTCCGGACATCTAACAAACAAACATCCAGGCCTTTCTGGTCGTTTTAGCATCTGAACAGAACCTTAGAATGTGCAAAAGCAACCACCAAGCTCTTGGCCTGATGAGGACTGCTTCAGTTACCTTGCAGCGCTGTCTCCTTTGTTTGCTCCTTTGGCTAGACAGACGTTGCCTCCGATCCGAGTGTCGAACCCCAAACAATTACCTGAAACCACCCGCGCACCCATTTAGCTGCCGAGTGGTGAGAGCAAAGCAGCGGCGTTTCTCGTTGGACCCGCGCTTCAAGACCCTTGAAGGCGGAGAGTGTTAGGAAGACGACCATGCTAATGCTTAAAATGGCCTCCTTCACATCCATGATTGTTGGAAAGGGCAGAAAGGGCAGCAACACAAGTCACAATGCGACACAAGCAAAGTGCCGGGTCAATTGAAGTGACATCTTCAAGCAGAAATTGACACCTTGAGAACTCCTCTGTTGAGGGGCTCCGCGCTTGCCTCAAATTGGTCGTCGCAGGGGTTGTTCAGCTGGTGCCGAAGGAACCCCTGAGTCGATGGCCAAAGAACCTATCATAGATGTGCTTTTGGACAAATCGATGGCTCTGGTAAACGGTTGAGGCCAGACTAAAACTAGTTCAAGCGGTCCTTTTCAACCAAATGTCTGCGAGGCTCCAGTTTGAATCCTAAACTTGGGCCTGGTATTCGTTAGCTTCAGGTCTGTGCAGGGGCTGACCAGCTTTCGGGCCAGGACCAGAAAGGGCATTTTGTTTTGGGATAGTTGAGAACTCTCTCCAAAAAAAAGAAGGAACAAGGTCATCTGGGGAAGCTTGGTGGCTTGTGTGCCATGCACCAGAAGTGTTGATTTTCGCAGGTTCAAGGTGAAAGTCAAGTCAGAGAGCATCCGACTTAGGCTTAGGGCTGCCCCTTTTCCATTTGTCAAACACTGGGGTACCTCTGCGCAATCCAGTCTGATTGAAACAAACAATACTGTCATAATCATCAAACCCGTGTTTTCAAGCAAAATCGGCTTGATGGTTCTTCATATCCGAAAGAATTCCAATTTTATTTTCCGAGACATTTTGGTCCTTGTATAAAACAAAATACACAAGCAGCGCCACTCAGCCAACCCCAAGGGGGGTCCTTTCACGCGGGCGGAGCGGTTCGGTCCGCGCATCGGATCTTTTCGGTCGCAGGGCGAAGGCATCGTAGCGCAGCAGCAGCTCTGAGGCCTCGAGGTCGGTCAAGGCGAAGGCGCCGCGCACGGGGTCCAGGCGCCACCACCGGCCCTCGAAACAGGGCCGATTGCGACCGATGGCGGCCGGGTTTCGAGGCGAAAGGGGGACCTCCCCATTTCAGGACATCGCTTTACACACGTGTTCCAATCGCACCCCGGTTGTTCTCCTTTCCAAATAACCTCCAACAGGGAACCCTGAACCCTCACTTTCGGGGGAAGGGAATTGCAGTAACTTGCTCACCCAAAACGAGCATCATGGATAAGATCGCAACCAAAACCCGTGGAATTTGCCCAGCAAATTCCCGGCCAAAAAACCGCGCTTTTCAAACACAAAGATCCCCGCTTTGGGACGCTCCCATAAAGCTCAGCCTTTGCCCCCGGACAATGTGCCTGGGAGTTTCTCAAAATGGGAGTCTGGCCTCCCTTTTAGTTGGTATTCAAAGAGAAACCCAAAAGAACACGTTGTGATTGTAGGAAATGGACTAGTTCCTCTGACAAATCCCCTCCCAAAGAACAACATGTGAGTCATAGTCAAAACCCGGTACACAAATGGCGAACCCAGAACCATGTACAGGATTAAGAAGGCGGCCGCACCTATTTATGGATCGTCCCTTAACCTTCATCTACCCGGGTTTTGAGCACGTGACTCAATTCCCAGCTCAAAACTCAAACGAATCCCTCCCGCGCACGCACCTGGCTCCTTCGCAGCGCGTGCCAGTGGCTCTGGGCATCCAAAGTCACCGCAGCCCGGGGCTCGTGAACCAAAAGCCCTGGCGCTTCTTCCAGGGCAGAGAGCCCCATGTTGTGCTCTTTGGAAGCGCCCTTGACATTTTCAAAAGAAAGCCAAAAGGAAAACCGCAATTCGTGGGGTGCCAGCCGCTTTGGAGAATTTCACGCAGGGATGACCGGGCCAACCAGGGGAAACAAGATTGGAAAGCAAACTGCCGAGCATGCTGGCAAGGCAAGCAAGCCAAGGTTTTAGTACATCAGCAACCAGCTCGGGACACCCCCTTTTCGTGGACCATTCTTACTTCGTGGCTGGTTTTGCAAGGAAAGCTTGACAGGCTTTGTTGGTGGACGCCTTGCCACACCTGAGACGAAACATGCTCCCATATTAAAGGGAAACCGCGCCCTTGGAGGGGTGTCAGGTTTTGGGGCATTCCCATGTTGCACCGCGAGCCAAAATGAGTGGCCCGCCATTTCTTGACCCCCACTTTTGGCCACAACCTCACCCTGCCCGACATTTGGCCCTGACCCAAACCGACGCCTTGGCAGTTCCGAAGCTCTTCCACGGCCCTGCCAGCAAAGAAAAAAGAAGGGAAATGTCGGCAAACAGCAAACTGCCATTGATCCTTTGAGGAGGAATTGCGTGTAGAATTCGCTGTTCTCCCTGACTGGGGGGTCCTCAGATCGATTTTTCAAGTTGCAAGGGACGTCAGCAGGAAGGCCTCGGGCGCTCGATGCGCTCCAGGCTGATCGGCAGCGCGTCAAGCACCGCCAGCCTCGCCGTTTTTGGAATGGCCCTCTTTCGGTTACACGCAGCCAGGCGATTAGCGCACCCGTTACCAGGCGGCTCAAAATCACAGCTTTGCGACATGGACGACGGAATCGGGCTTACATGTCTCGCAGGCGGAGTCCCGTTCAGGCCTGCAGGTTTCGAGAAGCTCTGAAGACATTAATTACTAGCAAGACTTGGCCGCCCAGATTTGGCTGACAACTGGGGCCCCTAAGCTTCCAACCAAATTCCAATCCACCTCCTCTTTAAACGGGGCACTTTGAAGGTGTTTTGACGTTGACAAACATGTCAATCGAATCAAAGTCCCAGCTCAGGACCGGAGCTTCGAGCACATGCCAAGAGCGCCAATTTCACGGGTGATGTGTCACAGAGATCCTTTGTTCGACACGATTGACAAATCTGACCTCACTGACTGGAGTCTCCAAGCTCGTTTTGACAACTTCTTCTCGGTCTGCACGAAACCGGGCCCGGGGTGGGGCTGTGCGTAATGTAAAACACATTCATATTTGGGTGCTAAGATGGGAGCGCCTCCTCTTGGGTCCTTGCCTTCGCTGAAGCGGACACCAATCCGATGTTGGACAAACATAAGGCATCCCAAAACAACTCCCTTGCCTCAAAGGACCTGTTAAAGGAAGTCCACCCTCCTACAACTTACCTGGAACCAGCAATCCTTTCAAAGGACAATGCTCTTCCAAACCCCCAGTCAGGTTCCATGCAAGTGGATGAAAAACATATTTATCCTTTTTCCAGGCTCTGAGCTCCTGTGTGCCATTTCGAAGGCACCCTGAATGAGTTTAAATGGACAGGTCCCCAGGGAAAAATACGACTTTCGAGGTTGTAGTTTCTTTTCCATACATATTTTTTGCCCCAAACATGCAGGGGTTCCTTCAGTTTCCCTTTAAAACCAACAAACAAAAACACATACCGATTACCCTTTTGCCTTGCCTAGCTTCTTTTTGCCAATCCGAGACGCTCCGTCGGCCCGGATGCCGAAATTGAGGGCAGCTCGAGGTGAATGCCGGCGGCCATGCTGACCTGAAAGCTGCAGGGAAGCACAGGGTCTGTTCGGCTTTTCGCGCTGTTTTTGGCTGGGTGGTATTTTATGTGCTTTTTGTTTGTGGGTGTCATTGAATAAAATGCAGATCAGATTCCCTAGACGGTGCGCTAGGGCCGCAGCCGCTTGCTGAAGGCACCGACCAGCCTCAAAGGCAAAGAGGACGTCCTGCGCCAATATAGCGATGGCAAGCGAACGCAGCCTCCAATGTTGACTGACGTGAGGACTCCAGCAAAAGCCTCAAGCCTTATGGTTTCCAACTGCTGTCTAGAGCCCTCGATTCGTGCCAGCACCGTGGAAATGTTTGCGGTGTTCCTGCAGCCTCTCTTTGATCCTGCTCCTTCTATGCAGCCACTTGGGATGCCTGCAAGTTCCTGTTGTCATGTCAAATTGGGAAAAGCCACCAACACTTCTCCAACGAGCACATGCGCTTTGGGCACAAAATGCCAACTTCCTCCCTATTCTAAGTCAACTTAGGCATCGCAGCGAAAGCTACCTTCACAACGGTGAGATCGCAAACCCCCGTGTTGTGTAGAACCTCTCACATGTCGCTTCAACATTGTGGACATCTCGTCCATGGGTTGCGTTTAGGCATTCACAAGGCCAAGGTCAACATTCGACTAAGTCCACCCCACTTCCACCCGGTTGGCAAACAGCTTTGCTGCGATACCAAAATGACAACTTTGTGACTTCAAAGGGATTTCACGGCTGGCCACAACCCAAAATCAACACCAGGGCTGCCATCTTTGCAAACGGACAAATAAAAACCCAAGTGCTCCCCTCGGGGTCTTGAGGCTACTGCGTTGGAGTTCCAAACGAATGAGCGAGGCAAACAGCAACATGTCAGGGTTCGCCAAACAATACATCCCAACATCAGCTAATTCACCAGACAATCGAAACAAATGCACCAACTTTCCACTCTTTGCTTACCTCCCCCCCCAATTCTCTGGCCATCCATTCTTCGGTTGTCTTTTGGTCGAGTTTTTCCCCGGACGAGTTCCACGGCCGGCTGTGGCCTCTGTGGCCTCCGGGGTCTCCAGGTGTCCGAGTCCGTCCGGGTGGCGCAGCACCCGGCGCCGGGCGCTCGCCAGGTGGGGCGCTTCCGCTGGGGAGCGCCAGGCGCGGAGCAATGTCACCACCTCCTGGCCGTTACGTTTGGGGGTGGGGGAAGGTTTTGGGGGTTGGTGGGTTTGGTGGGTTTGGGGACACGGGGATTGAGTAGGGGGGACCAAATTGGACCAAACCAGGGAAAAGCTTCTCCGGTTATGCTCGCGGGTAGGTCACTTCCCAACCTCGCTCCTTGTGACCAAGCTGCTGCGCCAACTGCTCCGGGGCCAGGCCGAAGTGGTTGGGCACCCACACCGAAACCCCGGCACGCCTCGGCTGACCGGAAGGCTTTCCAAGGGACGGGCGTCGATTGCCCGAGCGGGACTGGGAGGTAACCCCCCCCGCCAGGTTTCAACTTTTTGACTGCCCCAAGACAAAAAGTGTAGCCCTGCCTTTTTAAAAAGACACGCTGCAACCCAAAAAGGTGCAGCCCAGGGGTGGGTATCCCTGGACAAAAACGGCGGAAGGCAAGCTAGTTTTGGGGAAAAAACACAAACTAGAGGAACACAGAAGCTCACACGATCGCTTTTGAAAAAGCAAGTACTGACCCCTCCAACCAAGAGAGTCATGTTTCATTTATGCAGCCAAGGCAGTAACATTTGCTTCTTGACTGCTTTTCAGGGACCCCCAAAGAGACCTTTGGGCCTGTCTTTGAGGGTACCCCTTTTGGTAGGTTTTGAATGGAAGCTAAAAGGAAACCGAAGTCCATTCTGCTTTGCGGACTGGGCCACAGCAGAGCGCAGCACGCCTGGCCGAAGGGCCCCATTCCGGTCCACTGCCATCGGTTTCCTTTTCAGACAAGGGTAAGTTAGTGCAAGTGGGTCAACAAATGGCGCCCAAAATGGAACCGATGGAAATTGAATAAACATGGCGTGGGTCTCAAAATGGAATACCAAATATGGGTTGCCCTGGATGGAAAGGACTAAAGCCAGTGGTCACCTGCTGGTTTAATTCTGACCCATACCCAAATGTGGCACCTATTCATTATTTTTTTGCAAAATATCAAGAAATGATGTAAAAAGATGGGTTCGCAATGATATTAGCCGATTAGGTACTGGCATGGGAGATAGCACTTGTAGAGGATCCAAAAGCGACCCTTGGTATTTTCTCTGTTAGCTTTGAACCTTTGGACACCTGCCACCAAAGCAGGCTTTCCCCTTTAGTTTCTCTTGTTCAAGGCCCCCCCAAACATACCCATTGGGAAAACAAAGGATACCCCGGCCACTGGCTGATTTTAAGGGCCTTCAGACTGATCCGAACGGGTGATTTTTTTCCTGGCTAGACGTGAAAAGGAAGGGAACCTCGAGGACAGGGCAAAGGTTGTCTAAGTCTGTCTTTTCACCCCGGCCAAGCTCATGGGCGCTGGCGACGTCGCAAGCCTCGCTGTTGCCCTCCCGCGCGCAGAAGTGCAGCGGGGTGTCCTGGCCGGGACAACCCAAACCAAATCCATCAAACCCAAACCAAACCCAAACCAAACCAACACAACCCAACCCAAACCAACCCAAACCAAACCCAAACCACCCAAACCAAGCCCAAACCAAACCCAAACCAACACAACCTAACCCAACCCAACCCAAACCCAACCCAAACCCAAACCAAACCCAAACCACCCAAACCAAACCCAAACCAAACCCAAACCAACACAACCTAACCCAACCCAAACCCAACCCAAACCAAACCCAAACCCATCAAACCCAAACCAAACCCATGAAACCCAACCAAACCAAACCCAAACCAACCCAAACCAAACCCAACCCAAACCAACACAACCCAAACACAACCCAAACCAAGCCCAAACCAAACCCAAACCAAACCCATGAAACCCAAACCAAACCCAAACCAACACAACCTATCCCAACCCAAACCCAACCCAAACCAAACCCAACCCAAACCAAGCGGGCTAACCAAACCCCAACCCATCAAACCCAAACCAAACCCATGAAACCCAACCAAACCAAACCCAAACCAACCCAAACCAAACCCAACCCAAACCAACACAACCCAAACACAACCCAAACCAAGCCCAAACCAAACCCAAACCAAACCCATGAAACCCAAACCAAACCCAAGCCAAGCCAAACCAAGCCAACCAAATAGTCAAGGACATCAGCGCCCCAATGTGGGCGTCAGCATTTCGCGCTGGTCGGTCCCCGCGCTCGTCTTTGGAGCACAGCAAGCCACGGCAGCCTGCCAGGTTAGGGATGGAGGGCTCGAACATGGTGCCAAAATCGCACCTTGGCAAATGGAGCCAACGACTAAACACCAGTTTGCGACAGCTAAATCAAGGAACTTGGCCAACTTGGAGGTTGGAGGGTCCTGCCAACTTGAAGGTTGGGCGCACAAGCTTTTGAGAAAAGCTCGTAAGCTTGTCATGCCAAGGTGGTTGATTCCTATGGCCGTGTCACAAACAGTGGCACTTGCCTGGTGTCCCAAAAGGGCAGATTTGAAGGCAAACACTACTCTGAGGCCCTGTGTACCTGGTGACGTTGAGTGCTTTTTTCTCCTGGTGTTCGCCCATCCAACACGGGGAATCCTTCTTACAAAGGGTAACTTCCAGGGACCCCGAACCCGTCGATTTGCAAAGGCCCCGCCTCCAAGGGCCCTGAAAGGGATGAACCGAATTCAACCCATGTGATCCAGTCAGCTTCAAGCCGATGCTTTTCTTGAAGAAATTGCAAATATGTCAAGTTTTGTCATGCAAACACATGGGTGCAAACTCTTCCTTGCCCAATTTTTCTCTCTCTCTCTCTCTCCATAATTTCCGACAACACCGGTGATGGTAGTTGCATAGAGCCACAGCCAATCCGCATGTCTCTGACCCAATTTTTCTACATGTCAAAGTAGAAACACGGACCCATCCAAACGGACCCTTGCAAGTTTACTTCAACTCAAAGGGTGTGGGAGGGGGGGGGTTCACAGGTACCCCTTGTCCAACAATGATGGAAGCTGACAAGAGGTTTTGGACGACCAACCTCTCAGAAAGGCCCCTGTTTCCACTTCCATGGTCATTGGAAGAGTGTAAATCCCGTAGACAAGGCCTAAACTACTTAACTTTAAAACTGACTTGCGTCCTGAAATTACTTTTCCATGAATTCCGCTTTTTAGGGGGTTCCCCCATGTTTTCTCCTCCAAACAACCCCGACATTTTCCGGAGGCCAACGGAGCGCCGGCCTGGCACCGCGCTGCAGCGCTCCAGCCACCAGACCTTCCCCGCGGCCGCCGCCCGGTGCGCCGCCAGCGGCGATCCGTTCGAGGTCACGGCAAAGTGCGGAGCTTTCGCCTTCGGAGTCAGCTGTTCACAAGAGGCGGTTCCTGGCTAACAAGCTTGAGGTTTTTTGTTTGTTTGTGGTTAGTTGGTCCGATTCAGACAAGGCTTGTGTAGTTGATTGGTGATTGACAATGACAGTGGTTTGTATTGAGGGGAAGGAATTCGCAAAATGAGAGACTCAAAATCAAGTGGCCCCTTGTCTCCAACGACCTGGAGTGCAAAATACTGGCATGTGCCCTCCCAAGTATGTTCACATCTCTACAAATGAGACGCGGATTGCTCCAAGGTCTTGAACGCCACCCCGACTACGCAACCTGCTCCAAGATTCCATTGGTCGAAGCATTCCAAGTGTCATATACCGCCGAGACGATCACTGGTCAACTGGCCTGATGACATGGTTGGGGCAGCCTCCTTTGGACTTTCCTTCGGCCTCAGACCCATCTCTCAGCAGAAGTGTCAGCCCAGCTGTAACGCCGCACGCTTCAATACCAGAACCTATACAGTTCTGAGGGGCAGGTTGCGTAGTCGGGGTGGCGTTCAAGACAGCCATCATGAGGAAATCCATGTTTGTTCCCCAACAGCTGAAAGCGATGGGTCCCTGCCCAGATAGGCTCTGGGCTGGTTTGGGGCAGCTTTCAGGGAGGGTTCCATCCGGTCTGCTCCCACCTAAACATTAAGCAGTTTCCCCGTTGTGGTCTGGAGTCCTGGTGGCCGACTTCCGAAAAGGCTGGCCTTGTGCAACTGAGTTCATGTCTCCAGGAGAGGAAGGGTCATTTAATGAGCATCCGTCGAGTTTAGGACAGGCAGGGCCCATAACCAGACCGCGACTCGGCAAGCTGAACAGCAAAGCTTGGCCCAAAAATCAAGTGGAAATTGAGATTCCCCACTCATGTCTGCCGTCCTTGTTTTGGGGGAAGCCAGAAAATATGGACATCTTCCGATGGCCAACAAGAGGACATTGACACGTGCTTTGAAGTCACGGATCAATCAATAGGAACCAACGAACCTGAAGACCTCGGTTGAGTCCCACACATGGCAAGTGAAGAAAACCACAAATTCCAAAGTGCAGGGTGCGCCTTTGCAATGTTTACCTGCAACCGAACTGACCTGGAAATCATGGCAAATCGGCAACCTGAGCCGGGCATTCTGGATTTTGCCGGATGGGGGTCCAGCAATAAGCTTTTGGGTTGCTTAAAGTTGAAACCAATCTTGGAAAGCCATGTGAAGCAATCCCGATGTTTGAGTTGTGTCTGAGTTCAAATCTTCAAGCCCCAAGCACCGATCAAAACCAGTTTCGCCTGAAAACTGGCTCGGTTGCTGCTCCAGATTCCATGCCTACCTTTGCAAAAGGATGATGCTTACCACCACCCAAAAGAATCGGCCCAAAAAGTTGCGGCTGAAAACCACAAAGGAGAAACAAATGCGGGGTCCCCTTTTCATCCATCGACATAACCAACCCAAGAAAACTCACGTCTCAGGGGCCTGAGAAGGTGCTTCTCCCTCCAGGGCATTCCGAAGCTTGCCCGGCGCCACATAGCTGTGCACATGGTCAACGTCCGAGCCCCGTAGCCACCTAAAGAAAAACCCGAGATGTGTCAAGATCAGAGGACTCTTGGAATCAGTTCTAAAAAGCCAACAGGCCAAGCATTTGCATTGCGTGGCTCCTCAAGGCAACGCGGCTTCACATGGGCGCTCTGCTTTGGCCCCAGCTAAACATGCGCCACACGCTTGGATCCTGACGTTGGCTTTGCTGTCGCCATACCTACCTCCCCTTTCTGAAGTCTCCTCTTAGTTACCTCACCTGTCCAGTTGGCGGGGTGCGAACGCTGAACTTCAAACATAAATGCACCCAAACTCAATAAACTGAAATTCATATCGTTAGCAGCAGCTTGAGCGCGTTAAAACATGTGATTCACCAATCTGAACCCATGCTTCCTGTCGCATAAATGAGATTCGCATCCGAATGGGATGTGTATACCCGCAAGGAAGGGTGTCCGTGGGTTCCTTCTGAAGTGGCAGCAACCACTAAGGCTCCACTTCATTATTCGCATGGAGACCATTCAATTCTTTGACCCCAAACCCAGTGTTAGAGCTTTTCAAAAGATACCACTGCGGTAGAGTATGCTGATAGGAGTGTCGGAAAAGTCGCGTAAACTCACGAAAAAAGGAGGTGCCTATTTTAGGAGGAAAGCACCCATGTAGGACCTTCCCCCAAGAGGGCGGGACTATTTTTGTTCCCACCCGGACAAACAAAATGAGAACAAAACAAACAACATATGTTGTTTAACAAGCAACACCGATCTCAAGAGGAGAATAAAACCAGGCCCCACCAGGCGCTCGAATCAATACCTCGACGCTCTGCCGAGCCGCTCTGGGCCCAGGCGGTGCCGTGCTCGCAGCCACGCGGTGTCCGAGGTGAAGAACTTCCACACGCCCAGCATCGCCAGGCTCGCCGTCAGAAACGTCGCCAGGGCGTACCTGAGCCAAAGGCAAGGTGGTGGGAAAAAGAGGCAACTACAGCACAAGGGGAAAATACAGGGGGTCTGGAAAACACGTATATCTGAAAACACGTTTTTTTTTTGGTTCCTTTAGGGGAAGCTAACAGTTAGTGTTGCTGTTTACAGCTCAAGATTTACCATTTCAAACCTAGCGAAAAGGAGGAACAAACCCGAACAAGAAACAATCGGCCCAAACGTTGTTGAACACCCATCGACAATACAGCCCAAAACACGAAACACATACTGTCGTGACATCCCCAATTTGTAAAACTTTAAAGCCTTCTCTTCGAAAGTCCCATCCGCAAGACGAGAAAACACGCTTTGATCTCAAACAACAAACTCACATCAACCTATTTCATCCAACAAGAAAGACTGTTATTGGGTCCCAGTTTCGGGAAGCGAACTCTTGCTTCATGCAAACGAATCCAAACAGGGAAACAACGTGATCTTCCAACCATCAGCGTGTTATCAAAGCACTTTGTTCTTTGCAGCAACCCTGCACTAGAACATGGACAGAGCACAAACAACAGCAAAATATATGCCACCCGCAAATACAAACACCTAACATGCAACCAGTGCAAGTCCATTCATCTGGTAGCCTCCATTCATCTGTCCAGCAGTGAGAAATGTCCTTTAAAACCAAACAAGGAAATCCAGAATCGTTTCAGAAAATGGAAGTAACAGCTTCTACTCGTTCTTTTTTTTTTCCACCGAGGCGCACCACGTCCTGCGGCAAGCCCTCCACCGGCACTCCGGGCTTCGGCTCCGGAGCCGGGGCGGCCCGGAAGGCCTCGTCGTAGGCCCGGCGCCGGCTCGCCTGGCGGGGGAAACCAAAGGGTCAAAAGGTCACCACCTGTCACCATCAGCTTTCTTTTTCCTCTAATTGGTGGTTGTGGCTTTGGCTTCCAAAGCACCCTCTAGAAGCAGGGAATCAAACCCCAAAGCACCAATCAAACCACCAATTGAGGGTTACGAGGCACAAGGTAGGTCCAAGCAAGAACCACCTTTCCAACCGCAAAACACAGAAACTGCGGAGCATCTTTGCGGAACCCACCGGAGCTCTTGAACGCAGGCCATCTTGACCGTGCGTCGCGCCTTTCTGAGATCATGAATCTTTACTCCAAAATCCAACTGACCTCATCTGTACCAGGGCTCCGGGGGCACTGTTGGCTGCCTGAGCAAAGGATGCGAGGGAGTGGCTTAGCTAAATGCTTCGTGCTCTAGACAATACAGTTGCATTGATTTCCTTACGTTTGCTTCATCGACGTCATCTCCCATGGTTGAGATATCACCGCGATCTTACACCATGGGTGTCTCCTTCTCCTCCTCATCATCGTCCTCATCATCATCGTCCTCATCATCACAATATGATGCTTTATCATTTTGTTGGCTGGTGGACGTGGTTTTGTCTCCTGCTTTTTCCCCTCCACCAGAATAAGTGCATACTATGAGGTTCGGAGTATTTGATGATGTGAACCACTGTTCATCAACGTCTACTGTTTGTTCTTGGTGGTGGAACAAGGTTGCTTTTCCAGTCTGCCGAGGCACAATCAGTTGTGAACGCGAGGAGCCTTTGGACATCCGCAAAGAACTACCGAAGCCCATATCCAGGGTACATCTGGAAACTTTTGTCGCATGGCGCGCTGGGCATCCTTTAGCGCCATGACTTTCGGTTTGCCTGCAAGCAAGCCCCGATAGAAATCCAACATCAACTCAGCATGCTCTTTGTCACCCACTTGCCACAGCGTTGCGACCTTGCCCCAGCCAGCCTAAAACCGCGAACCAAACCCCATACACTTTCACCTGCATATACATGCCCCAAGCCAGTTTCACAAGCAGACAGTGTCACCAGCTGAGTCGAGTGAAGGTCCATGCCACGAACGTCAGAAGCTAGGACTACTGCGAAATCTTCAAGTAGCGCTTCTCCTGTAAGAACAGCCTTTGCCCCTGCAAAAGCTAATCCAGTCCTAGTGAGTGGATCTTTCACTGACGCAGCAGCTAAATTCGCCTCAACAGTGCTTGCTTCTGTAGACACTTTGCCCTGGAACTTCCTCCACGGCCTTTCCTCGCTTGCCCTTGTGGGCACAGGTAAGCTTGTTGGTGCATCGTCTCTAGCTAAGAACAAATCCGTGGGTGGCCAGATGCAATACGGGCGGCCGTGCCACAGCAAGCACCGACCAGAACCCTAACTGAAAAAACAACAGATGTCAGGCATCTCTCATGGTCATCCAGCACAAGATCCCGACTGCTGCGTAGAAAACACAAAGAAGTCTCCGCGTCCAAGAGATAACGTTGGCCTTCAGCTTGATTCATCCGTGGCAGTGCCGCAAACGGAAGTCTGCAGAGCTCCGCATCGGCAAATTGGCTCCACCAATTGCTCAGTCAACCGCATTAATTGGCGCAGCCTCCAGAACCTCGTCAAAGTTCAGCTTGCGTGCGATTTCCACAACATTGAGGTGTGACACTGGAGAAGTTCATCCAGTTGGCGCGGCCTGAGAGAAGGGCTTGGGACAAGCTCCGGCGAAGCTCTGCAACCAAACTTTGGCCAGGCACATGTTGAAGAGCCTGCGGGTGATACATAGCTCCCTTCAATTTGGAAACAATGCCGAAGACGTCCGACCAGCTCACTGGAATTGTTTCTGACTTGCACAGCTGCACCTCCGCAAACAGAAGCGTTCTGAACATCAGTATAGGAACCACCAGCCAGTTTGGCGAGTCTCGAGATCAAGACATATCAAGACCATCCGCTACTATCAAAGGCTGATTGTATGGGTTCAATATAACCCATGGCCATGTTGGACCCTTTTGGTGCTGATTTCCAATAATAAAGCCACAAATAAAGGTTCATGAACACATAAATATAACGGGGTTCATATATGGACGTATACATTCAGGCTTTGATACTTGAAATGACTTGTTTCGTGGCTTATGCTCGAAAATTCTGCTTTGCCGCAGGCCTGGGACCTTGCAGCCCAGGACGATGCCGACCAACGCCGGTTGGGGCCCCACTCTGGTCCTGCGTGGCATACGCGGGGTATGTCAATGCACATGAGTATCACGGTATATCTCAGTACAACTCTAATACGCACATCTAAACAGCACTCACCCCGAAGCCTAAACCCACTCTAATCAGCTTCAGCCCGCACACCCAATCCTGAATTAACTTAAACCCACCTACAGTACGCCTTAACACACACATCCTGGGCCCAGGCCAGCCTGTATTTGTGGATGCAAAATCTGTGTGCATGCCATTACATGTTTGAATTGTATGAAGACCACGGGATTCTCTTGGCCCAGCTCAGACTCCGCTTCCATTATCTGACGAGCAGGATCCCTGAACAAAATGGTGCTACTGAAGGCCACCCATGTCTTCAAGGTTGACTGACTGTGGCTTGGGTGGCATGTCCCACTTCCACAGCAAAGCCCAGGCCAAATGTGGAGCCTACTCGCTTCCCCTCAGCGCTGCACTGACATTTCTGTGCTCATTTTTGAATCGTTCCTGCAAGACAGCCTGGTGGTGGGCCTTTTTCTGGAGCGTTGCAGCTGATGAATGAGATCGGTCGCCATTAACATCGCCCCAAATAGGCTACAACTTGACGGCCAGTTCTCGCGGAAGTGTCGCACCCCCTCGGCCTACATCCTCGCGCGGAGGGGCGGCCTTTGGCGCCATCTGCCGCTGCTCGAAAAGCTTCAAAGCTTCGTCGTAGTCGGCGCGGAGTTGTGCGAACTCCTCCAAAGCACGGAGGTACTACGTACATATGGGGGTTGATCAAAGGTCCAGTAACCATGGGATGACCATCGTGGGAAACCATGAAAAAAAACTTGCCACTAGATTGGACAAGTTACCCATGGTCATTTGGGGCCGAACGGAATATTGATCAACCCCCCATATAAAACATGTGTATACTATGGCAACAGGACCTCTAGGCCCTCAGTACCCATGTAGGTAACCTATACCATCATTTGACGGAGGGTCAATGCGGTGAAGATTCCTTACATGGAGTGTTTGGGAAGAATTATTCCCTGCGAACTCCAGGGAAAGATATTCATCGAGTACCAGGGGTTTGGCATAACTTCCTGTAGACTGTCGAGCTGGCTTCTTAGACCCAAAGGACGCACGTCCTACGCTTCTCAGAAAATATGGGAGCCCACATGCAACTCCGGAGGGGGTGCACCAGGTAGATGGCAAGTCTGAAGGCTCTGGGCGGAAATCGCCGCCTGGGACGGACATGGGAGAAACCACCTACTTACTGTTGGCATAGATGAAACTTTGGAGTAATGGGATAAACAACCAACTAGTACAATATTTTGTCCATCCACAGTATGTTGGGACACTCCGCACATTTGCAGGGGTTTGCCAGTGAGACAGGCAGCCACACAAGACAAGTTGGCAGACTGCAGACTCCAACTCGCTCTGCCTTTTCAACTCGGGGTGCGCTCCAATCAAACTGCCCTCTCTACTCTACTGATCCCCAAATAAAACTTCCGGTTCAGCAAGAAGAAAGGCCCTGCAACCTTTTGTAGGGAATTCGGAATGCCTCTTTGGGTATGTATCAATTTAGGGGACCCCAGAAATGCTGGTTTTCCCTAACCAGCCCCCAACGTGGTGCGATAAACCGCAGGAGTCAGACCGCAGCCGAACTTCGAACTTCGCTCCTGCGCAGCTCGGTCCCCGGGGTTCGAGTCCGGGTGCAACTTCTTGGCCTCCCTGGGCAGAAGAGTGGCAATGAATCGCGGCAAATCCGGGCAAAACTGGCCGATGCGGAGGATGGCCGGTGGTTCACTTCAGGGTTTTGATGGCTCTAGGCTCACATCGAAGCCTGGAGACTTAAGTCACATGAAGACCTTACAGCGGAATTCCAAAAGAAGTTTGACGTCTGTTTACCTTTCAAACCATTCAAGGAAAATCACGCCACCAAACATGATTCCCACAAAAAAAGGATGGGTCCAAAAACTGCTTCCCGTTCACCCATCCTAGCAGACACTTTCATGTGCCCGTTGTTCTTGGGTCCATTCAACATCGGGGCGAGGCACACACACACACACAGACACCACGTATGCATGTATGTACATATATATATATATATATATATATATATAAATACACACGTCCCAGCGGATTTGCAGCACCCCAACACACGAAACTTCCGCCCATCCCTCCCAGCATAAAAGACAAACGAAGAACCCACCCCTGGTACAATCCCCGCCCAGCAACCCCCCGCCCCCCTCCCCTCTCCGCACGCCTGAAGTAGGCCCTCCGCAAGTCTGCGACATTGCACTCCCGAAGCTGGAAGCGAGACAGCAGCTGCGCCAGCCGCGACATGCCTTCAGAAACGGCAGATGCGGGTCTCTCAAGTGCCCGAAAAGGGTTTATGACCCGAGTCAAACAAAAAACGAGGTCAAAGAAATGAGGGAAACAAACACCGATATTCCCAAAACCCTTCTAATTCCGCACTAAGAACCAAACAGACGAGCTCCACCGCAACAAACCCCATTCCAGGTCGCCAACATGTGAGCTGCACACGTCCCCTGCCTTCGACATGTCAGGGTCAGGGCTCCACCTCCATTATGCGCTCGCGGCTCTCATTTCCTGAGAGCTTGAAGGCTTTCCTTGTATTCCTCTTGGCTCTGCTTTGTCCGCTGCTTGCGAGCTTCGTAGAAATGCTGAATCCAACAGTGGGGAGGTGTGTGCTGCGCGCGAAAAACATGCCCTTTCGGTCAAGTCGACGCCGATGTTGACTTGTGACTTGCTTTCGGTCCGTGGAACATTTTCACTCCACCTTTGATGCCGCTATTCTCTTGTGTGACAGCAGGCGTGTATATATATATATATATATATATGGTCACCCCCCCCCCAGGGCCTACCTTTCTACTTTTTGCATGAAAGAGATTTATTTGCAGATGTTCAGTGTCCACTTGGTTTGCAGATGCCTTGCAGAAAGCACTGTAATTTACGGTGTTTTTGTGCATTGTTTGATATTGTCTCAGATGTGCTTTCTATACTTGATGCAAAACAGGATTCGAGAAAGCAACAAACACGAAAACGGAAAGCGTTTTCAGATGCAACTTTGTCAGTGTTAAAAACACTGTTATTTGCAGTGATTTTGAAGGAAACTGCAAAAAAGCACCTGTTTCTTACGTTTTTTGATGGTTTCAGCCTCAAAACCTGCACAGGCTCAAAAAATTGCAAAAAATCCAAACCTGGAAGCTCCAAAACCTGCACAGACTCAAAAAAATGCAAAAAATGCAAAACCCAGATACAATGTCAGAGGTCAGGGCTTGATTGGCCTGGACTTTTGCATTTGTTGCATTTTGTTTGAGCCTGTGCAGCTTTTGGAGCCTTGGATGTTTAAAACCTGCACAGGCTCAAAGAAAAACAAAAAATGCAAATCCCAGATGCAATGTCAGAGGTCAGGGCTTGATTGGTCTGGACTTTTGCATTTTTTGCATTTTTTGAGCCTATGCAGCCTTGGATGTTTAAAGCCTGCACAGGCTCAAAAAAATGCAAAAAATCCAAACCTGGAAGCTCCAAAACCTGCACAGGCTCAAAAAATGCAAAAAATGCAAAACCCAGATGCAATGTCAGAGGTCAGGGCTTGAGTGGTCTGGACTTTTGCATTTTTTGCATTTTTTGGAGCCTGCAGGTTTTGAGGCGTCCAGGTTTGGATTTCTGGGTTTTGCATTTTTTGCATTTTTTGAGCCTGTGCAGGTTTTGGAGCTTCCAGGTTTGGATTTTTTGCATTTTTTTGAGCCTGTGCAGGTTTTGGAGCCTTGGGTGCTTAAAACCTGCACAGGCTCAAAAAAATGCAAAAAATCCAAACCTGGAAGCTCCAAAACCTGCACAGGCTCAAAAAAATGCAAAAAATGCAAAACCCAGATGCAATGTCAGAGGTCAGGGCTTGAGTTGGTCTGGACTTTTGCATTTTTTGCATTTTTTGGAGCCTGTGCAGGTTTTGAGGCGTCCAGGTTTGGATTTTTTGCATTTTTTTGAGCCTGTGCAGGTTTTGGAGCCTTGGGTGCTTAAAACCTGCACAGGCTCAAAAAAATGCAAAAAATCCAAACCTGAAAGCTCCAAAACCTGCACAGGCTCAAAAAAATGCAAAAAATGCAAAACCCAGATGCAATGTCAGAGGTCAGGGCTTGAGTGGTCTGGACTTTTGCATTTTTTGCATTTTTTGGAGCCTGTGCAGGTTTTGAGGCGTCCAGGTTTGGATTTTTTGCATTTTTTTGAGCCTGTGCAGGTTTTGGAGCCTTGGGTGCTTAAAACCTGCACAGGCTCAAAAAAATGCAAAAAATCCAAACCTGAAAGCTCCAAAACCTGCACAGGCTCAAGAAATGCAACAAATGCAAAACCCAGATGCAATGTCAGAGGTCAGGGATTGATTGGTCTGGCTTTTTGCATTTTTTGCATTTTTTTGAGCCTGTGCAGGTTTTGGGGCTTCCAGGTTTGGATTTTTTGCATTTTTTGAGCCTGTGCAGGTTTTGGAGCCTTGGGCGCTTAAAACCTGCACAGGCTCCAAAAAATCACAAAAAACAAATCCTTTACTTGTTTCTGAAGAATGGAAGACAGATTGGATTGCTGAGCTTTTTCACAGAAGCATCGTGCTGCAAAACTTTCCAGAAGTTTCTATATCGAAGGCTATAGGGCCAACAAAGTCGAAGAAGTGCTTTGCCTTGCTCTTGTCCTTGGGATGATCAAGAGGAAGGTCAGTAGGCGAGACAGGACCACGAGGCAAGTCCACGACATTGGGCTTGGACAAGTTCTTGAGGAAGAGCGCGTTGGTGGCATTCAGGGCCGTTTCCAGAGAGATTTCACTGGCTTCTGACATCATTGCTACAAGAAAAAAAGAGATACTTTGAATGACCTGGTTTGAGCTTCTAGCAGCAGAGTAATATATAAAGGAAACTGTGTCTAACATCAAAGAAAAATGTACATATTTATATATATATATATATGCTCACCCCCTACTGTTGAAATTATCAGTTTTTCTAGACTGTGCAAGTGAAAAGGTAGGCCCTGGGGGGGGGGGTGAGCATATATATATATATATATATATTTATGGCTTTCACCGAACAAATCTTAATCGTGAAGGAATACTTGTGCGAGTGCTTGGTTTGATCTGGAAAGCTGCAGAGCTCTCCTCCTCTCAAGATCATGCTGCTGTGCAAGAGCCAGCTTATCCTCTGGAAGGAACGTCATGGCAGGCGCTGGCAGATCTGCGATAGATTGAGAATACTTTCTGTTGTTTTGTGTTGCAAACGACAAGCACAACCACCGCTTTCCAGATTCAACACAGCAACGAACGCCTTCGTTCATTGCAGCTTTGTTCCTTGCCCCTGCCGCCTTCGCATTCAAATCTGAAGAGAAGTACTACTATTACCATTAAACTTTCCAGGTGGGCCCACTACCATTATATATCTAACCAGTATAAACAGATTCTTCACAATTTCCAATGTAATATTTCCAGGTGGGCGCACTACCACTATCTAGCCAGTACAAACTGATTATTTACCCCATTCCCGCATGTAGTTTGGGGAAATGGACATTAATTGACCCTGGTCTGGTGGTTTAATGGGATTCCCCCGCGAAAACCACCATCGTCGGGGTCTCTCTTCTATTTTGACAAACCCACTTCGTCGCATCCACGAGACTTGGGCCAAGTTCCACGCTTGGCGGTACCACACGTTGAAGCACTTGTCGTACCTGCACGGAGGGCCCTAGGCCTGGCAATATGGGGAAAATGGCTTTGGTATTTGGTAGCAATAAGAAACTCCCGGCTGATTGTTGGGATTCCTCAGCTTTGAGAATCAGCTTCGCAGCACCAAGCCCGGAACTGCAGGAGTGCTGGCAACATGCAATGCGTGCGATGTGCGCGCCCACCTGAAAATTGGAGCGCCTGGGGCCCCAAGTCCTCCCCCAATGGAACACTGGACTTTGCGGCAAAGTTATGCCAACCCACTGCGACATGGGCCCCATCAGAATGGACAGTTTATTTGGCCTCGCCAGCTGGGTTTTCCTGTGCCCTTTCAATTCTTCTTCTCTCCAGGGATGCTTCTCTTCTCAAGCTGACCTTACACCTAGGGCAAATATGTGTGCGTGTCACGATGCGGGAACTTCTTTTGTCAACAGAAGCACAAACTCAGAGGGTTCGAAACACGCCGACCAGCTTGGGGACTGCCTGCTGTACGGCCACTTTCATACGAGGCCAGCCAACTCAAGGCGAAGGTCGTGGCGGCAAAGAAATGAGGGTTGCTCAATATTTCGTTCGGCCCCAAATGACCATGGGCAACTGTGCCCATGTGGGGAACATCATCTTTGTAGTGGTTTTCCAACCAATGGTCTTCCCATGTTTGGCGGACCTTTTGATCAACCCGCAAATACATTTCACTGATCTAACTGTCTCATGGTAAATTACTTGTGGATCCAACCTCGGAACTAACCGGGACCCGTCCGAAACGGATGGGGACCCTGGTTTTCTTGCTGGTTCTCAGCAGGGAATGAGGGAATGACAATTCCACGCAGGGAAACTCTAGGTTCATTCCCAATTTCCGGAACGGTCATTCCCTACTGACCAGCAAGTCTTGGCTCGTATCCGCCTGTCTTTGAATGGCTGGCAGTAGGTCATCACCTCCTTGTATGCTGAGCCTGACCGAGACGCTGTTTCTCGGGGAGCGTGGGAGCCCAAGGGAGCCGGACTGGTTGTTTTCCGCGAGCTCAAGCGCATTCTCAACTTGCTCCATGCGCACTATCACAAGCGGCATGTGAAAGTTTTGTGCGCGGGAATTGGTACTTCAGGCGACATGGCGTGGAGCTTGAAAAGAGATAGCCACTGTCTCAGCAAGAATTCGGCAAATTGTTGCAACCTCGCTCCTGGCATAGGGTGTTCACTTTGCTTTGGGTTGTGAATCGTAATAGTTCACTCGGAAAGCTGCTGGGTGTCCCCTATCATCACAGCTGATGCGCGAAGCACGGCCATAGGGTGCATTTATTGATGGGAAGAAACGATTACTTGCCCGAAGCGTTTCCAATAGTCCAGCGTATTCCAGCCTTGTGCGCCTTCTATCCGGGGCGTTCTCTTGAGCAGCGAGTCTATGATTCAGCCCTTGCCTTAGGCGAGGTATCTCCCTGTCCGCCCCAGCCTCCGCTCGGCTCCATGGCCACCGCTCAAAGTGCCCGGGGCTCCGATGCGAATGAAATCGCAACCACACCCTGGACTTGTGCCTAATGGCAATATCTCCCGGCTGATGGTCTTTTGAGCGGCTTTGCGGACGAACCTAGCTGGGATTGCGACAAGAATGGCTCGTCCCAAATTCTCCCGTCAGCATTGGAAGGAACACATTGTTGATTTCCAGCTGATTGACTTCACCCACATTGCTGAACAGGCTGGCTATCGCCGGCTGATGTGCCAGGCCAAAAAAAGCCGAACTGAGGCATACGGCACACGTGCGTTTTTGCTTGCTGGTGAAATGCGACAAAAAAAGAAGCAATTACAGCATCAGAAACAAGGAATGGCTAGGAACACATTCCCGAATCAAAGAGTGTGAATGCCGTGGTGACATAATATCACATCATAAGAACACTTTAAACCATCAAATTAAGCCATTCTCAACTTGCTCGCATTTCCCAAAGAGCCATGGTTACATAGGTGGCCTTTTGGAAAAATAGATGGCGCTGGTAAATGCAATAAACCGCATCTAAACCAGTGCCATCTATGTTTGACCAAACTAAGCCAAACAGGACACCTATGCGTGGGCAGGCACGTCACGATTTTGAACGTTTCGGTCAAAGCATCTTACCGCTGGCTGCACTACGCTGTAAGCCGATTGCGGGAGTTCTCCGCAGACATTCAAGAGATGGCGCAAGAAGACTATGTACTGCAAGCACTTTTACAGAGCAACATCTCCCCCAAAAAAAGGGTAAGCGGTCACTACTGGGGACCTCAGCCACTTTGGATGGCCTGCTTGAGTTCTAAGCTCTCTACCGCAGAACCTCGAACCAAAAACAACCAAGCTGGATGTTCACCTTGTTCTTGGGCCCAGCTCCAGTGGAAATGCGCTGAAAGCGCCAAACTGGAATCCCTAAACTCCCCCAGCCTCTCCCCCCACCACACAGAAATCCCCAACATTCCCCCACATCCACCCCTTCCCCTACATCGAACTTTTTCTTCGATCAGCCCTCTGGCTCCTGCAACTCCCCAGACGCCGCCTGCGTGGGCGGATGGCAGAATTGGGTCAATTGAGCAACCAAGGGTAGTTTCCTTCAGGTTCCACTGCTCCAAAGAAGACGCTGCCATATCGTCGCCTCTTTAGGGCTGCAATTGGTTTCCCAGTTTGATATTTGGCCGTGATGTGTTTATGCGGGACCTTGAACGTTCCATACGCATATATATATATACATACCTGAAGGGATCAATACATTGAAGGAAGAAGAAGAAGGCAGAAGAAGAAGACGGAAAGGAAGAACACGAAGACCAAACAAGGGAAACCAAAAGGTCAAAAGGTCAAGTGAGACAAGTATTCATTCATGCGACCACCAACCGCATATTTGGTCACTTCTAGAACCACCACGCGAAGACAATAGGAAGACCCCGCGCAGTTGTCCAAATCATTGCCATTAGACTTGCTCTGAAGTGGTTTGTCGCAGCCTCCGTTTTTGGGACATCCAGGTGAAAGCGCTAAATAGGGGCTCTGGAAAAACCAACCAGTCCCGCGTTGGTTCGTTTTTGGGACACTGGTGATTTAGCTCCCAGCTAATGGACTCGAGTATTGAATGCCAGATTTCGACACGGTCCAAATCGCAGCCATCTCGACCGAAATGGGCTTGTCTGCGAATGACCCAAATTGAAATGAGCAGTTTCCCTTTTTGGCTACCAAAGGCGGTCCCGAGCCGAATGCACACCCATTCTTCATGGCTCCGAAGACGGGACACTGGTAGGGGGGCTGTCAAAACCATGAATCCCTCGTTGGAATTGATCTTCGGTGCCCCTTGACAGGAGCTCAAGGGGGTGCTCTCCACCTGAGACAGCATTCGTGGGATCGGGATGCACTCACATGACCGGAGGGTTCTCAAAAATAGAGTTGGACGCCCACAACTTGGAGCCCCATTTTTGAGGGGATCTGCCGCCCTCAAGCAACAGGAGCGCTCAGCACGTCTCTTTTGTGCTGGGTCGAAGCCGCCCACCGCCAAATGAACGAAAATCAGCAGCGGGCAAGGCGGAGTTGGAACACGTCTATTCTCACCTTGCAACTGGTTGCCAGGCTTGCAAGGCAAAAAAGAGGTCTCATTTCACAACATGTGCTGTGTATTGCACATTGATCACATGAGGTTTATGAAACCACGGACACCACAAAAGCGTGGACCACACTGAACATGCATATCATTTTGCGAAGCCCAGGTGGGTAAAGATCGCGCGTAAAGTTTGGGCTGGGAAAATTCCCAAGCCCCAAACCCTACGTAAGATACCTCATGGATCGGCGCACTGGATGCGATTCGACTCGCGGGGTTGATAGATGGGCATTGCGTCTTGCATGCCACAGGCGTCGGTCAATTCTGGCCTGGCGGTCGGTGACAGCTTGTGGATCTAGACAGTCACCGTCTTTGGGATGCGATCAGCGAGAGGGGAATTGGAAACCTACAGAACAACTGGCTCAACCGGCTCCAAATCCATTTATAAGCGGGATGGGGCGGGCAATACAGACGACCCTTGTTACGTTGGGACATCTTCGGCACAGACCCGAGATCAGACCTCAGAGAGGCCAGGATAGACTTCCATGGGTGTGTGCATTCCCAAACCGTCCAATCAATAATCACAACCACCAAGCACCCGGTATCAAAGGAATATTGTCTAAACTGTGTCCAATCAGTAGCTCGGAGGTTGAGTAGCTACCGGTGAATGCAGGCTATCAGGCAATCGTCGTCAAGCATGCGTGTGTCTCAAAAATAGAGGATCCGTTGGATTCCCTTTCAATGCAACCAAAAGGGGGGTTCCCCCAAAAAAAGACACCCCCGCATGGGCTCTTAGGGGGGCAGCCTGCCTGACCCGGCGGAGTTCAACTTTTGGAAGGAAGGTTCGTTGCTACAATTTTTAAGCCGCCCAAAGACGTCAAGTACGGTGTTTCCAAAGAGGGCACGCTCGATGGGCGGCTTCCTATTGGCTTCGCACAACACAGCCGTCTTTGGGACAGGAACCGAAAATACAAGCGACACGAAGATCAACCATGGGAAACACTCTCTCATCTTTTCCACTTACACCCTGGCACAGGGACAAACATGCAAAACATCCCGTCTGGCAAATGTTAGTATTCCAACATCTGAAATAAGGGATCCAGTAAAGCTCTCAGCGGGGAATGAGTTGGAATGACCCGTAAAAACGGGTCAGTCCTATGGTTTCCCTGATTCGGGAAGCCCCAAAACCGGTTCATTCCCAACACCTGGTCTTGCTTCGTCATTTCCTACGCCGCTTGTACCGAGTCCCCGAGCCTCGCACTCATTGGGAGCCGGAGCCCATCTGGTTGGGCACCATGTGTTGCATGCACAGCACCTCTCTCGGCAGAACGTGTTCTGCGAAAAGAAACCAAGACATGTCCTAGCTCCTCCAGTAGAGAAGTTGGAATAAGGGTACCAACTTTTTTTCAGTAGCCTATTCTAGTAGGGAAACCTTTCGCAAAAAAGAAAGGGTGAAAGGGCACTACTGGGGGTCCTAGTATCAGCTTGGGTGAGTTAGACTGGTGGAGGGTTTCCGGGCGCGGTTTCCCATGTATCTACAAGGGGTTCGAATCTCCGAACCACCAATGTAAACCACCGATTGGAGCCCACTCTGGAAGTAACCAAACGTGCATATTGCAACACACGGCACGGCAGAGCGGGAAGTTGGGATGGGGGGCGCTTTCAGGCACAGAAGTGCAGGATTTTGTGCCAATAGCAATTAGCATTTCCGCAGAAATGAACACTGGCAGAACCAATTGCATATGCGCAGGTGAAGTGCAACTATCATAATCTTGCACACCGGGCATAAGCTGGCCTGGATCATTTTGAAACATGCAGGACAGATGCAACGGTAGTTTGCGCTACATGCGCTAGCCAGCTGCGCAGATCCCTTTCTGCGATGCAAAGTGCGCCATCCCTGCCTTGCCACTTTGAAACGGAGTCCCTTGGTAGATGAAACCCTCCTGACCGGTGACGAGGCTATGCAACAGTTTTCGATTCACTTGGCCAAACCTCCAGCTTTTGCCCCGTGATCCCGGGTGCTCACATTTGCCACGGTCAAACGACCTGATCAAACGAGGATGGCCTTCTGCCATTTGCAGGCAAACAAGCTACAAACAGCAAGTGTCTTGCAAGCCTTGTATCTGATTGTCCTGCCGCATAAGGCCCTCCAACGTCAGGGAACGGAACACCGAACAGGCATCTACACACTTGGCACCAAAGCCTGACAGGTAGAGTCTGATGCTAACGCCAACAAGCGGCTACCAGCCCGCCCCCCAAAAGAGAGCGGCCGTTGGAGGGGATTCGGGGATCTGTTGTATTGTTGTGTCATAGACAAATGGTCAAACACACGGCATTTTTTGCCGTGTCCGTCCAAGATGGTGCTGGGAGCTAGGAAAACACATTGGAGGTGCGCGATCACCTTTTGCACCTGCAATTGTTAGCAAATTCATCCTGAAGAACAAAAAACACCATACCGCACGTGGCAATTTCGTTTTGCTGCGCCAGGCCTCGTCAAAGGAGACCCGGCGCCGCAAGGACGGCGGGCTGGCCTCCCCATAAGACACACGCCGCTGGAGGCGGCTAGGGGTGGGACCGTCCGCGTCGTCCCATTTGCGATCCGCCCGGGACTGGCCTCGAGCGCTCGGCCGTACAAGCGGCCGGTTGAAGGAGCTTGCACAAACGAAAAGGAAATCCATCAGCATCAAGGGCCCATTTAAGGAAAAGGGTTGCAGAGTTGGGCTCAAGCGGGTTTCATCAACCAGTTGCCATGGATGCAGGACATGTTGAACGGTCGGCCCAATTTTCCCAAAGCACAGTTTGGGGCACTTGCAGGAAAGCACGGCGCAGTGTAACTTCCAAATGACCATTTCAACTGCCATCAGCCCAGCCACAAACGCCCTTCTTTGGTTTTTGGATATCACACATCAGAGACTTGGCTCATCTCTGAATGCGGGTTGCGATCGCGAGCTTTGACACTGGTATCTGCGACAATAAGAGAGATAGAGAGAGCTTTACAAGTGGGTTGGACAATGAGACCTAAAGCAGTAGTGGCTGTTTGGCAGATGTTGGATACTGTTTCCTTTCCCGAGGTCAAAGCGTTGAGGGCCAAACCGAACAATAATGCTGAGGGCTTGCAGTCGCCCTTTGGCTCACCTCCGGCTTCCAACTTTGGCTGAGCTTGTCCGAAAAATATCCCGAAATGGCTACAATAGGCCCGCCCCCCCCCCCCCCAACAAATACGTCCGTTTGTGCGTTTCCCAAAAATCAGGGCCCCGCTTCAAACACATGGGACGGTGTCGTTCCAGTCTTCCAACAATGAACCAATCAAACTCCAAAACGACGTGTGGCACCTTGAAAAATGGCACACAAACATTTGGGTCTCAACTAGTAGCAGCTTTTCAGTAAGTTGCTTTCTTCTCTTTGCCTGCCCTCCCTGATTTCCCTTTGATTTGTCCGAGCACAATCGCTGCTTCCTTTCTGACCTTCTGACAGAACAGGGGGCAACCCCTCTGTCAGGCTGGCACTTCCTTTAACGACCCAAATTCCCCCTGGCCATTCGATTGGGGCGCTGGTGCGGTTGTCACTCTCTGGATGCGCGGCGCCATCGGAGATGAGGTTCCTTAGGTTGACAAAGGACGGCACCGCGTCAAGAGCCAAAGCCGGCCCGATGCCATCGGTTGGTTTGCGTATGGTGAAAGTGGACAACTTTCGGGGCATCGGATCTTGAACACTGGCTGCGTGGGCTAGGCATAAATAGATTCACAGGGCACTACGGGTATGCGTCAGAGTAGGTGCACCGGGTTTTATGCTTTTTGGGTGGCTTCCTTTTAAACAGAGGCGAGTAACCACACAGCAATCTGGTTCTTCGTACCATGGGCTCAAACCCTATATCCCAACAAATCCTTGGGATTCAGCCCTCCCGGGCTTCCGGGTGCACACTGCGCCCACCGGATCACACGCTAGCTGAATCATGAGCGGTCATAGTATGCGGGTACGCAAATGGGCGTGTCGAAACAGGTGTCATTTCTTGGGGGACCCCTCCAGACTGGTGTTCCTCTTGGCTGCCCAATAAAACCACGAGAAATGGGTATACCCCGAAAACCCCGAAAACAGACAGGCCCAAACAGAAATAGGGAAAAAACCAACCTGCGCTCAGGCAGCTCTAGCGATTGACCTAAAATCAGGGCTTCCTCCTGGAGCTTTGACAGACTGAGCTCGTGCATGTCCCGAACCCAAGACTTGTTGACAATGAGCCTCTTCTGCTTTGTTTTACTTGGGCAGGGCGAGCATCTCTTCCCATTCAGGAAACAACGGGCACAGGTTTTCGGGAGATGATGACATGGTTGAACTCATGGCATGGTTTTGATGCGAATGTTGGCTAACATCCCTATTCAGAGGAGTCCACCGTCTCTAATCCCAAGTAGAGGAACATTTCCAGCTTTGTAGTACAAGTCAAGTACGCGAAGTACACCTCCGCAGCTCCAGCTCGAAAATCGCAACTTTGCAGTACTTCCGCAGCTGCAGCTTGAAAATCGTGACTGACGCCCTGTTATCGTGTTTTAGGGTTTCAATAGCAAACGCTATTCACGGGCGCTTTCACAATCCTGGCCTTTTGACGTTCTTGTCAAACTCTTCCTAACGAGAACGCAACCAGACCGGCGAAGTGTCTCACCCAGCACAAAAGACATCACGCAGCCAACGGAAGGATACACTTCAGAGGCAGGTGAATGAAAGCTAGGTGTCTCGACAGCTCCCTTACTTGACGCAAGGAGAACTTGCTAGCTGGTTTGCGTGACCAGGGTGAATGTAGATGGCACACTTCACTGGATTTAGGCTTGGTTGCTGTTGACCACTCTGAGAATCAAACTTTGTGTTCCACGGAAAATCCGGCAGAGGCTCCCGAGGTGGGAATGCAGCTCGGAGGGGTCGTTGTTGGAGCCCCGCGAGCCCATGGAACGCATGACTTTGTCCCGGGCCAGCCGGGCCCCGTTGTTGGAGGTGGAAAACAGCGCGGAGTCCTGGAGATTCCTCAGGAGAAAAGGGCTTGGGTAGGATTGGTGAAATGCCCTCAGGACTCCCAATTGCTGTTTCCCCTGGAAAAAACATAAGCGTAATTCCAGTAGTGATAGATTCTCTTTAAAGCCAACAAAGGGAAATCACGCATATTCCTAAGCAACTGGAAGAGGACGGGCTTCAAATCCGAAACCAATCCTCCAAAAAGAGGCCGCCCAGCTTTGAGAAGCCGGCCATCAATTCCACCCACTAGTGCACCGGAAGAACACAGAAAAAAACGGGATATGTTGGGCGGTGAAACCCCAAAAAGACCCTGGTGGCAAAGGCCGAGTTTTCCTTGCGGCTTTGGTTTTAAACCACACCTCCCGCGCCCCTTTTACACCTTCCATGTCATAAAGCGTGATGCCTTGAGACAACCTGGCATATAAGCCAAACGCGCGTTCTGCCCCACCTAAAAGCGAGCAAACCCAAACAACTACAACATACTGCCAAGAATGGTCAAGGCATTGCCAAGGTGAAAGGGCTCGTCAGGGCATTAGCCAGCATCCAAACGCGAAAGTGCTTGGCTTGTGCAATGCGACAAAAGTGGAACGTACCAAACTAAAGGCGGAGCCGTGATTTACATACCCGACGGGATGACTGCCCTGTGGGGCGGCCCCAGGGAATTGCATGTCGGAAGTCAAGCTCGTCTTGAATTTGTCAACAGCTGGGCAACTTGCTATTTTTCAAACCTCTGAAATAAGGACTACGTACTTGAAACTATCATGGATCAGGTGTCCAACGGAAACCTTTGTGATGTAGCTACAGTAAATCGAAAAGATTTGGTTGCTAGCCTCTCAAATGATCCAAGGGAAGACTCTTGAATCGGCTTGGACAGGACAGTTCGATGAAAAGCACTCGGTGTTTCGAAATGCGCAACTGCTTTGGGCTGGCTTTAGTCCGAAAGTGTCGACGAGGACGGCGCATTTGAGGTGCTTCCACTGAACCATTACTGTCTGTCAACCGTCCTTCAAGGTCTGAAGTTCCAGGCATTTGGGAAAGCGGTCTAAAGAACCGGGCGGGTTTTCGCAGCCAGTTTGGTGGTTGTCAACTTTTACCCGGGGCTTGGCTGTGCGTCGAGGCGCCAGGAAGTGCCCACAGGGTCGCTATTCGCAGCCAGCTGATGGAGCAAATCAAAGCCCGATTGATCTCGGCTCAGCATGCCCATGCTGCTGCGCATCCGTAGGCTACCTGAGAAAGAGCCGCTTCTTTCTTTCCCACATAACGTTGAACAACTCCTTTTCAAGTGGAGGACCAAAACTGAAAAACAACTGAAGCAACAACACACACACACACACAAAGTTGCAAAGATAGGAAAGGACAACTCGAACTTGCTCAACAGGTGACTCATTCTGCTCATCCTGCTGTGGGTGGCAGAGACCATCGACCCCCGGTCGTTCAAGTCACTGTCGGAAGCGTTGGCGATGATGCCACCAGAGCCCGCCCTTGGCCGACTTCCTCGGAAATCGCAAATTGCCAAATTGATTCGCATCTGTATCTTGGTCGCCGTTGACATTCAGTTGCAGTTCAATTCGGACAATCTGAACTGTCTCAACCTGAAAGTTCCAAGCCCCAAGATCCAACAAAATAGCCATATACGCATCCAACTCTCTTTCAAGTTCCCAAAATCGAGCCCTCATTCAACCACACCCATCCAAACCCGAGCGGTTGATGTGAAAAGGAAACGGTTTCCCCCCAAAAAAAACACACACACACAAAAAAAACCAAGAAGCACCACTTTTCAACTGGGTTTCTCTCAGCCGGCTTCTCGAGCGGCTTGGTCTCCTTCTCCTGGCAACAAAAACCGTAAAAACAAAAAACACCACCGAACGGAGAAAGTCTAGGTCTAATCTCAAAGAAGTCATGGTTCACATCACGTTTCCGCAGTCAGAATCTGAAACCTGGCTTCATCAAGAGCATGATTATTGATTTCTGCTCATTGAAGTGCTTGTCTACAAGAAACAGAACTCAGGAAGACTGCTCAACTGGACAAGAAGACATGTCCAGACTTCATCCCTTTCCCCTATTGCTTGTGCTTTCCTCAGATTTTCATTTTTTTCCTCAGCAACTTACGCCTTTGACAGTTTCGTGCCTCCGGCCTAGGGGACGCCATTCGGAGCGAAAGCCACCCGCGACTACCCACCCCGAGGGTTTCCTTGCTCGCGCCAAAAAAAAAGGGTGTCAAAGTAGCCACGAGGCTCCTGCAAGTAGAAGAGCTCAAACAATTTCACTGGGCCTTTGGGTACTTAAAGCTAGTCGCGATCCCGAGCATAAACAATCACTATTTGTCCCTGATTATGACCCAGCTTCCCTGCGACCAAACTGACCAGTTCAACCAGTTCCAAACAAGATCCTACGGCAGGGCCCAAACATTCCTTGGCTTTCCATATGGTCCATGAAACAGCGACCCAAATTCGGGTAACTCAAACAACATGAGCAATTCGTTTGGGATGCCGTCTCCTGCACCTCCAGCATCATAGTGCTTGGGGATTTGCCCCCGTCGGACGGCGAGGGTGAGGCCAAGCCCGACACAACTTTGGGCTCCTGGCAGAACGGAACGAATCAACCTTGAAAGGGACATCCGCATCTTTCTAGGGGTACTCACTTCCTGAGTGGATTGGCCAGAACAAATCTAAACTTTTGGCATGCCATAAACAGGGTCTTCCCGAAATGTTTAATTTCCATGCACTCAGGAGGTGAGGGTACCTCACCTATTCTTTCCAGATCCTTCTTTCGCACGAAACCTTCAGAAACCACTGACAACGGCTGGTCTTTTAATCGAACAGTGGTTGACAAGAATGGGAAATCAAGCCCTATGCCCGAAAACACCCGTTTAAGCACGAAAGGTCAGGAAATGGGAGGGACCTTCAATCCAATCTTTTCCCGTTGTTTCAGGGTGGCCTTTTGGGTTTTAAGACGAGTCACCTTTCCCCCTTATTTTTCTCTCGACATTCAGTTGTTTAAGCGCCACCCTTCAACCAGCCCCGGTGATTGCAACCAAGTTTAGGAAGCGTGAGACAACCCCGCTTGCTATCCGAAGGAACACCTTTCTTCATCCTTTCGGTGGTGAAAAAAAATCACAACCCTGGGGTGTGCATTTCCAGTGTCTCACAGGGGAGTTCTATAGGTTCGAACCAAGCGTCAAGCTCAGGCGGTGATTTTTTTTCTTCTGCTAAGAGCGCGGACCCTTTGGCGATGGCTTGCTTGGGGACATATTGCCACCAGCTCACTTTCAAACTCCTTGTGGAGAGTTGTGGGCAAGAGAAGGAAACAGCCGAACACTTCCTTTGGCTTTCAACGGATACATGCGGAGTAGAAAAAGCACAAGCTACTTGGTTGAAGATGGGGATTTCCACCAGCTCATTCATGATCAAACCTCAAGATGTCGAAAGTTGTGCCCAGGGGAAGCACAAGCCACCTGCTTTGTTGCTTGTCTCAGGCAAACCTATTTAACATGAACGCCCAAGTCGGTCAGCAAGTTGGCGCGCCAACGTTCCTTTCGTCGTTTTTGCTCTGCTATCTGTTTCAAAAACACGGTGTTTCTTCTTGATTTTTTTTCTAGCATTTCCGGTTTTTGGTCTGTCAAAAATACAAGAATTGGGCCACATACCTCACACTCCTTTTCGTTCCATGCCCCAAGCAACTCGTCCCAACTCGTCCCAACTCCCTTGCTTTCTTCCCAACTTCCCTTCGCATCATGTTGCGATGCCAAAGCAACCCAGAAAGGCATCCACTGGCATTTGTAGAAACCAGTTGAACCCATCGGCATTCTTCTAGAGGACACCTTAGTGAAACCATTGAACCTTTGGAACCATCTCTCTGCGATTCCATTGAATAGTCGCAAGCCTACATCAAGTGTGGCATCACATTCTCAGGAGCAAACCAACACTGAGGGGCGCCACCCACGGGAAGCACGAATCATCACTGCCAAGTGATGTCTTAACAGCGGAATTGACAGCAGATGGCTCCAGATCCTCTGGCATCCTATGGACACTTTCAGATGAATGTTGACCCCGAATTAATAAACCCCGGTTTCTTAAAGGTGATGAATCCCCACTAAAACCACGGACACCCCCCAATTTCACAAGCAGGGGTTTATTTTTTTCTCGGGTCAACATGATCCATCCAAAAGTGAGGCATCAATTGAAAGACGACCCATGAACATATTTCAGGGTAAGCTCAGACCGGTCGCCTCCGGGGTCGCCTCCGGGGTCGCCTCCGGGGTCACCACTGGCTCTGCGGGGCGCAAGGGCTTGGGCCGGAACTTGGGCACCTCGCGCGGGACTTTGGCCACTTCCCCGCAGATTGGTCCCGTTTTGCTGGGGAAGCCGCCTGGCCGTTTGGTCCATGGCCCAAAGAAAAAAAACATGGGAACCTCATCGGGGGAGAAAAAGACCGCAGTCAACACCTGTTAGCTTTGTGCACCACCCAGAACTGACGCAAGGCAAACGCGAATAAGGACTTGCACAAACCGCACTGGCTTCAGCTTGGCAAATCTTGGCTTAAATCCGGGGCATGATTTAAACTTGAGCCAATCATGTATTTATCTTGGCGGCCCTTAACGGGGGATCGTGCAAACGGGGTGTTGGGCTCGAAACGCGACCGTAGTGGTTCACGCTTCAACAAATCTCCTGCCCCTCACTATTATAGCACCTGCACGAAGAATCTTGAAGACCGATTTGCTCTCAAGGGCACCCAGTTGGGTGGAAGAGCACGCATCTCCCTTTGACCGCATCCATTTTTGGGCTCTAGAGGAAACCCAAAGGCGTGCGCCTGCAATCGCTGCATGCCGGGGGTATCCGCATTGTCCAGCCCGCTCAGCGAGCGCCGTCGCATGGTCGGTTTTGGTGAGGAATCCTCCTGAAAGGGCCGTGAGGGCGGGCGCGTGGACAGAACGCTATGAACCTTAGGGCACCCTTCGGAAAGTTCGGTAGGAGTCATATCTGCCAACAATTTCTAAAGGTATTCCAAACACACCTTCAGAGGATTGCTTTGCCAGCCGGCAATGGCTCTGAATCAAATCGACTATCTCACAACCGCTCGTTGGCCTGCCTGGCCAACAAGAAAACAAACCTCAAGCAAACGCACAGAATCTCCGCAGCGTTCAGGAGCTGTCGTGGACCCCAGGTACTGGAAAAGAACACACGCCCATAGCTGTGTATCGCGGACAGAGTCATGTTGACTTCAATATTCGCCCCGGAAAGGGCCTTTTGCGTCATTTGCACAGGTGACCCGCATGTGACCCGCATGTGACCCGCATCTGACCAACAATATGTTTGCACACGTCCAAATCTACTTCTAAAGGACATGGAACAGCTGGCTTTCTCTTTTGTTATGGTCTTCCCAAGTGTTGGATCCCCTTCAAATCCAACTCCATCCCCAAACCCCTTCAAATCCAAAACGATGGGATTGCTGCAAGATGCGGGGTATGGGTCAAAAGTAAACCACCAGGAATTCGACCGCAGTTTCATCAGCCATGCGGTGCTCCTCCACGTTGCTTGCCCCGGTGGTCAGCGACCGCCTCCGCAGGGGCGGAGGCTTGGGCTCCTCCCGCGGAACCGCCGGAGCCGGTGGAAGAGGCGTCTCCGGCTTCGGTGACGTTGGCTCCTGCAAGTCCCAATAGGGTTGGCTTGGGAAGGTTTTTCAGGGATGTTTAGGTGGGTGTGGGTTGAGGGTGGGCTTTGGGTTGGGTTGAGGGATGATTTAAATTGGGTTTACGGTTGTTTAGGGTTGGCCCCTACTCGTCTTCCTCCTCCCCTCGTTTCCCCCACGTTTCGTCTTTCGCAGGAAGGGGCTGGCGGGTTCGGGAAGGTTGGCTTGAATCCGACGGAAACGGGGTGAGCTCCTTCAACACCCAGCCTGTTTTGGACCCCTTTCGGACCCTAAAACTATTTTGCCAATGTTTCCACATGATTGATGTCCTCCAAAAGCTACCTCAGCTCTTGCGGCCCCGACCAAATATACTGATCCTGCCGCACATTTGAGGAACCGCAGAATGTAGAATTTCAAAAACGATCCGAGTGAACCGGGGAAAAGCTGGTTGTACTTGGCATTGGGTTATAGTACGACCCACATAAACCTTGGCAATGTTGGCATATGGGTGGGTTGTGGTTGTTGGCATCCCTTAACTGGCAGCATCTTGGAACGGAAATGGGCCGTATGGGTGTGTCGTGTTTTAGGAGTGGCCTTTTGGCTGCTTCTTACAGGGAACTAAAGGAAAGCCAGCCAGTTTGAGGTCCCCCTAGTTTGAGACAACCCCATATTTGTGACAACCCCCAAAGGGGGACTCTCCTTCGGGTCCGTCTTCTTCTCCTTCTCTGAGCTGTCCTTGTCCTGGCGTTCACATGTCCCTGGAAACCAAAAGGGGTGGGGCTGGCTTCCGCGCTGGGGTGTGGGAAGCAAATACAAACAGAGACGTTGCCCATCGTCTCTTGGTTTCCTTTCGGGAAGGTTGACAATCACGGGACAACTCGCTGGCAACCTCCGCAAAAAAGGCGGGGGTGCCCTTGGGCTTTTGTTCAGAGCAGCCCCGCACAGCAACCATCAAACAACCCTCAAGCTATTCAGAAAGCAACCGCCAACCAACCATAAAGCAACTACAAAGCAGCACGCGTCCTGGCAAGCAACCGTAGAGTGACCAAACTGCCAGAAGGAATCAACCAAACACAGAAGGTGGCCAGGGAATTTGCGAACGAAGAAACATGTTCGGTGCATTTTGGGGGTTGGCTCTGCTGTGTTCCTTCACTCAGCGGCGAAGCCGGCGCGCCTTCTCCAGCTTCGGCTCCTCCTTGGCGTCTGTGCGCTTCAGAGGCCTCCGGTTGATCACCAGCATCGGATTCCTGAGGTCGAAAGCGGAGATTCCAGTAAAAGAAGCTGCGGCTCAAAATTACTTCGCTTCGAGCAATCCCCACCCTCCACACTCACGAGCTTACGACCGTTAAAACAAATTCCCCCACATCCTGGAGACTTCGACTCCAAATTCCCATCGACCCCTTCCCAATGATATTGTGCCGCGCAAGAATGGCAAAGCGCTGCTTCAAGCCCATTTCAAGCTTATTGGCGAGCAACAACTACTTGCACGTGGCCGATCACGGCGGCACCCGGGTTATGCATCTGCAAAAGCCATCGCCAGCCCTGCGCTCTGCAGAGCATGGCTGCGATGCGCAAGGGCATGCAGCCACCAAAGTCCGCTATTTGCTCCCAGGTCAAAAGCACGGAATGTTACAAACAATTCTTTTCATTATGGCCCGACGGGGGATGGCGAGCTGTTCTGGCGGGATGCTGGCGAATCCACTGGCGAATGCTGGCGAGCCGCTCCGACTCGATATTGGCCAAACACTCGGCAGGATCCACCGGCAAGGGATGGTCAGCGGGATACTCGGCTGGCTGGCGAGATACTCCGAGGGATCCACTGGGCGGGATCCACTGGCCAGCTGCTCTGGCGGGAAACTCGGCGGGATCCACTGGCGAGCTACTCTGGGGTACTCCGTGGGATGCTCGGCGGGATCCACTCTGGCGGTGGCGGGATCCACTGGCGAGCCGCTCTGGCGGGATACTCGGCGGGATCCGCTGGCGAGCAGCTCTGGCGGGATACTGGGCGGGATCCACTGGCGAGCAGCTCTGGCAGGACACTCGTCGGATCCCACTGGCGAGCTGCTCTGGCAGGAGACTTGGCGAGCTGATACTTGGCGGGATCCACTGGCGAGCTGCTCTCTGGCGGCGGATCCACTGGCGAGCTGCTCTGGCGGGGCGATACTCGGCGGGGTCCACTGGCGAGCAGCTCTGGCGGGATACTCGGCGGGATCCACTGGCGAGCTGCTCTGGCATACTCGGCGGGATCCACTCCACTGGCGACTGGCTGCTCTGGCGGATACTCGGCGGGATCCACTGGCGAGCTGCTCTGGCTGGATACTCGGCGGGATCCACTGGCGAGATGCTCTGGCGCGATACTCGGCGGGGTCCACTGGCGAGCAGCTCTGGCAGGATACTCGGCGGGATCCACTGGCGAGCTGCTCTGGCTGGATACTCGGCGGGATCCACTGGCGAGATGCTCTGGCGCGATACTCGGCGGGGTCCACTGGCGAGCAGCTCTGGCAGGATACTCGGCGGGATCCACTGGCGAGCTGCTCTGGCTGGATACTCGGCGGGATCCACTGGCGAGATGCTCTGGCGCGATACTCGGCGGGGTCCACTGGCGAGCAGCTCTGGCAGGATACTCGGCGGGATCCACTGGCGAGCTGCTCTGGCTGGATACTCGGCGGGATCCACTGGCGAGCTGCTCTGGCGAGATACTGGGTGGGGGCATGGTGTAGAAGCATCGCAAACGCGGATTCCAACTATCAAATCTAACAACCCCTTCCTGTCGGGTGGGGATCAAAAAGCCCAGAAAATCGCGAGTTCGTTTCCTCCTGTAAAGTGGGGGTGGGACGTGCCCATTTCTTGAGGCTCGCCCACACAAGTGCGTGCCGGTTTGAGGGCATCCTTGACCTACCACCCCTGCTAACCCCCAACTAGACCTCGTAAGCAGCACATAGAAACAGGTCGGCAATGAGACAGGTGGGGATCGGCAAAGCTTCACTCAGACTGCCCCAATCCTGCTTGCTGGGGAGGAATCTCCTCTCAACACAGAAAAAACGTGCGCGCGTGGCTGGGGAAGAATGTCTGAAAAGTGCAAACCTCTGCGGGTTTTGTATTTTTCGATGCTCCCTGGTTGGAGCGCGTTCGGCACTTTTCGCGACATGAGCTTGTGTGACACGCGGCACTTTCGAAAGGTCAGGTACTGATTTCGCGGCAGGCGCAGCACTTGCGAGAGTACCTTGCGAGAGTACGTGGCAAGCGCAGCACTTTCACAAAGTCATGTGGTGATTGCGTGGCAGGCGAAGCACTTTCGCAAAGATGGACAGATGGATGGATAGATGGATGGAAAGATCGACTTGATCGAATTGATTGATTAGATCGATTACGTCGTTTGGACGGATTAGACTTATGAGATAGATTATAAGATTGATCGATAGATATATCAATATCTAGAAAGATAGACAGACAGACAGACAGACGGACAGACAGACAGACGGACAAACAAACAAACCAACGGACAGACAGTCGGAGATAGGATACCGTTAGATGAGATAAGATAAGACAAGGCACGATATGTAAGATACAAAAACATAACATAGATAGATAAAAAATAGATAGATAGATAGGAACAAGATAGATAGGCAAGTAGATAGATAGGTAGATAGGTAGGTGGGTAGGTAGATGGATTAGATAGATAGATAGATGGACAGATTGCTAGATGGATAGGTACATAGATAGATCGAAAGATAAACTGAAGGATAGATACAGATAACTGGATAGATAGCAAGTAAGATCAGATAGCTCAATATGGAGATATATAAATACATATCAATACATACCAATATACAGAACGAGATAAAGAACCACAGATACATAAACAATAACAACGATAAAGATAACGATCACAACAAAGAGCACAAGACGTAAACAGAATAAGACAACAAGAAAAACACATAGAAGGATGAGGACACACCTGAATAGAGAAAGAAGGACATGCAGAAGACAAAGAGAAAGAACAAAACAAAGAAAGGAAGAAAGAAAGGAAGAAAGAAAGAAAGAACGCACGAAATAAAGAAAGAAATAAAGAAAGGAAACAAGAAAGAAAGAAAGAAAGAAAGAAAGAAAGAAAGAAAGAAAGAAAGAAAGAAAGAAAGAAAGGAATCAAGAAAGAAAGGAATCAAGAAAGAAAGAAAGAAAGAAAGAAAGAAAGAAAGAAAGAAAGAAAGAAAGAAAGAAAGAAATACAAAGGAACAACAGGACATGACAAGAACAGAGAAGCCAAGGCCAAAGCCTTCAAGGTCTGGGGTGAGTATTGGAGTGAACTAATTACTAAAGGCACAGGACGGATCACCGCTTCTTCTGGTTGGACATGGCCCTGGAAACTCGGTCAAAACCTCAACAAAACAACAACTCTCTTTCCAAGCCTCAATCAACACCAGGAGGAAAAGATAAACTCCAAAAAACAACACAGAACAAAAAAGCGCCAAGCCTCAATGCCCTCCAGAAACCCTTCCGCCGGAGCTTGGCCCGGAGCCGAGGCGCTCTTCCGGCGCCTGCAGAAAGAGTTCCGCCTGCATGGCCTCCGTGGCGGTGCGCCGCTCCAGGGGGTTCCGCTGCAGAAAAAGGCGGATGAACTCCACCACCTGACATCCCTCTGGGAGGACGCCCTCCACGCGCGGAGCGAAAACAACATTGGCACATTTTTCCAATATGTCTATATATATACAGTGAAATGTGTGTATATATATACACGTATTGAAACTAATTTTAAGTAATCTTAGTTAGTAGTTTTAGTAGTTTGGTAAAACCTGTAGTCATTTTTAGTTGCCCGACTGACTGAGTGACATGGAGGTGCACAGACTGTAGAAAGAAAACTATCCCTCTTGGAAATGGCCTTTGTGCACTTCCATGTTCGTCGGCAGGGTAAACGAAAAGGAAGCGTGCATGGAGAAACACCAAAGCTGTGACTTCATGCCAAATTCACCGTAACCGCAAACTAAAGCCCATTTGGCGCTCATCAAGTCCATCCCAAATTTCGGCGGTTTCCGCTGTATGTTCCTCTCTGCCACAAATGAGAGGAGGCGACCGGTAAGTGACCTGAATTACCTCGTGTTCGAAACCCATAAGCACAAGATCGCCCCATTCTGTGGTTGTCCCTTTGATCAAACCACCCAAACTGGATGCTTCCCTTCGGTCTTCCCAAAATGGCCTGGTGCATGAAATACCTCATGTTGTTTCTTTGAATCAATAGTTTCAGGAGAAAGAAACACGGGGGTTGGACTCCACGAATGGGGTTCGGCGCATGGGCAACGGTGGGTGAAAAATGACAATTCCTTTGATTTCCGCTCCATTTTCAAGGGGGGGGGCTGAGGCAGGTTTGCTTTTGTTTTCCTTTGGTTTCCTCACCTCACCTTGGGTGAAGCCCAGTAGGGACCAAAACGCAATGTGAGATAACGGGCTCCATTTTGAGAGACCGAAGCTACCAACCCAACTGGGAGTTTAAGAGAGACCCCCGAGGGAAATACAGCTGGACCTGGGCAAGGGAACTCAGCTACGGAACGCAATTGCCCAGCAAACTTTGGTTTCCCTTTGCCCAAAGTAAGGGTTCAGCTTCTTGTACGGTTGTAAGGAAGACGAGGAAATCAATCTCAAAATGCCAAGATGATGGCTCAAATCAGCCAGCAAGGACAATTTCAGCACCCCTGGCCATGAAAAACATGATGTTTGGGTCCATAACACATGGGCAATGGTTGGAATCCAAGATAGATAGAGTGGGCCAGAAGAATGGATCTCCAAAAATGGCACCCCAAAAAGGCGATGTTTAAACCAAGGAAGCAAAAGGCTTCCTGGGCCCAAGGTTTTCCCTTTCTTTGGAACACGAGTTAGTCGGCTGAAAACCATTTTGAGAGACCCCCCCCAAGTTGTCGGGAATCCCCGCACACTCAATCAATCCTGCTGGCCTCAAGGTGTGCCATCTTGGTAGGGGGTTTTTCTCGAAGCCCGATTGTTGGTTGGGTTTAAAGCTGGAAAACCATCAGTTGCCAACTACTTTGGGGGTTTTAGAGATAGACACACGCATGAAAAGGACTTTCTTGATGGGGGGGTGTTTCCACCATGGGGTCTCGAACCACCTTCATTCCACCTCAAAGCTCCTCTTCGGAAGATGGTCTGGAACCGAGGGCGTGGTTTCTTTGAATGGAGAGTCCAAGATCATAGCAACATTTAGGACCCTTTGCACATATGAAACATTGGCATCCACCAACCTGAAACTAAGTTGCTGAGTCGATTGACAACCACAAGTCCTTCTATTATCTTCCTAAGCCAGTCCAGAAACTGGGACGTGAGGAAACCTTGGCGCCGTCGAGCTATTGAACTCTTTTCTGTTGGTTTCCCTTTCTAGGGCCGAACAAAGATGCCCTCGAGGATCTGATGTTCGATCTGATTCCCGTCCTTCAGGCGCTTCATCTGCACAGAAACGTGCCTGGTGAGGAGGTCCTCACATCAACACCCGAGCTTTGAACGAAACGCAAGAACCGAACACTTAGCCAAGGCAGCACACAGAAGACTAAGGGAACGCTCTGGAACAACGGCCATGTGTTTTCCGAGGGTACCCTTGAGTTGCCCACTAATGTGGGGTCCGAAACCAAACTTTGACACTCAGAATTCATGGCCTCCAGGTGTTCATTGATTGGGTTTCCACCGAAATGGGGTGAGGTGTCCCTTTGCCCCTGCAAAACGCTCAAACAAAGGCACACTCAAAAAGAACACCCAAATATCGAATCCTTGATGAGTATAGACAAAACCAGGAAACAACTTTAGGGACCCCCGCAAAGCTTTGTGGTTTGGTCTTTTTTGTGGTTGTAGGGATCCTTTACAAAGGGCTCTGCTGAAAAGGCTGTCCTTTTGCAAAGGGAAGCAGCCCACGGGAACCACAGTCTACGGCAACAAACCGTTCGTTTGGAAAACCGTTCGGAGCAATTGAAACTGAGAAGGACTGGCCTCGTCAAACCCAACCATCACCGAAACTTTGACTTCCTAAAAAGTCCTAAGTGGAGCAAAACTCGCAAACACTTTCTGGAACTTTCGGCCGTCCGGTGAAAAAACCGGCGGTCCTCTGCGGCGGCAGAGCCTTCGCCTTCGCTGGAGGGGGCGATGCGGGCGAAGTCTACGGAGCTCCCCGTCTTCTCGGAGGCCAAGCGCCGCTTATCCAGCTTGCCCTGCTCTGAGGCGATGGTCCTACGAAAATCGTGCGGGGCTCTCAAAAACTAGCTGAAAAAAAAGGGGCGGGGGGTATTGCGAACTATCGCGGGGTGCTCTGCAGAACTAAGGCAACTAAGCTCAACTAAGGCAACTAAAATCTGGAAAAAAGCGGGTATGAGATGGTATGAGAGGCCCCACACATTCTTTCAAGTTTGATCCGGCCCAAAGGGTTCCATTTCCAATGCAACTGTCTGCAGAGACGTGCCATGTGCGCTCGACCTGTGGTTGGATCCACTGGCCTCACTATTTTGTGATCAAAGTCACCGCCCCAAGTGATGGGTTCAAGGGAAACAACCCCATGTTCTGACTTTGAGAAACCCCTAGAAACGGTCAAAAAATGACCCCAGATCCAGGTCCTCTTCAGCTTGTTGGCCAAATTGGTGAGCCTCGCGGGCTCTCTCTCCACGCGGATGATGTTTCTGGTCAGCTCACTCTTGGTCTGCTTGGACTGGCCAATGGGGAACTGCCCCACTAGAAGCACCTGTCGCGGTGTCCGGCTCGCGCGCTATCACGGATGACCAACGTGGGCTTTGCGCCATGACAGGGTTGCAACTGAAGCCGGGTATCTACCAAAGTCTGTCCAAAGTCTTTTCTCTCTCAACGGAAGAACCAAAGTCCGGAACATTCCGGAACTCCCCCCTGGATTTTGTCAAACCGCCTGTCCGTGCAGTTGCTTGGGTTAATGCCACTAGCCCAGAAAACCAAAGGTTTGGCCACTGCCATTCTCATCGTTTAGTGAACTCAGTTGTTCAGTGACCCTGGAAAAAAAGGGAACTTTTTTTTGGGAAGATCATTCTTAGTGGGGCAGCCACAAAAAAAAGGAAAAAGGGTGTCACTGAACAACTGAGTGATTTTCCAATAAAGTCGGATTGGCCAAAGACAGCTGTACATTCGATCCCAACGCATTTCGACTCAGCAGGGCGTGGGCAAAGGCGTGCCCAACAAGGCTCACATCGACACGTCGCTGTGCCAGAATGGCCGGAGACGGGAAGCTCAAAGTTGTCTGCGGAAAAGAAGGCCGACCGAAGAGCCCAGAAATCAAAAGCAGACCCCCCAAGCGGCTGAAACAACCAAGGTGTGGCTCCGAGTGGCATAGACCAGCACGCCGAAGGACCACATGTCCGCGGGAAAGTTGTAGCCTTCCCCCGCCAGCATCTCTGGAGCCATGTAGGACCTACCATCCCCAATGGCCCCAGGACAAAGAGGGTTCCGCATGGATTCTGGAACTGGTTGGGAGGTGGGAAGTCCCAGAACCAAGTCAAACCGCACAAGCCCACGGGGGAATTCACCCGACGGAAGGGATTCAAAGGAAACCAAACAAAGCAAACATGGCTTTGGGTAACCACGGGGCATCCATGTTTTCGTCCTGTAATGGGAACCCTCTCCAAAAGAAGATGCAAAAGGCGAACCGTCCCAAGTCTTCACCGTGGTTCTCCAACACAAAACTCATCAACGAACATTGGAAACAGAGATACTGTTTTCATTGACAATTGATTCTAAACGGCCTCCCCCCTCCCATCCCCTTTAACCCAACAAGACAACAAGAAAAACAAGGGAACCCTTCCGCCACAGGTCTCCCCAAACGAACACCTGGGCAGAGGGCCGGACATTCGGCCGACCCCGGACCCGCCCTCCGGTCCCCCGGTCAGTCCCCGCCTAGAGCCCCTGGCGCGCGTCAGCGGGCCCTCGGCGGGGGTGATGTACACCGCGAGCCCAAAGTCCGCGAGCTTCAGCGTCTTCCCATCCGAACCCCCGTAGAGGGCGTTCTCAGCCTGGATTATTCTTTATTTTATTCTTAATTTTTTTCGGGGGCTCGTTTTCCTGGCGCAGGTCTTTTTTGGGGGAGAAAACCAACCAAGCTGTTGTTTTTTTGGAGGACCCCCCATATTTTGCTTTCCATGGAGTTGGTTCAAAGGGGAGCCACAAGGAAAACTTCGAGCAGTTTAGCAAATCAAGCACGGAATCGAAGCAAGACAAGCAATTGGATGTTTCTCAAAAAAGAAACAGAGTTGTTGCCTTTCGCTTCCCTGCCAAAAGGGGACTTAGTTGAGAAACTCCCAAATCAACGCTGGACTCCGGATGGAATCTGGGACTGTCAAAGGGTGAATGCCAAGTCAAATTCGAACCCAAACCACTATTTGCAAAGAGGAATCTCTGTTTGGGTAGGCCGGACACAGGGCACATGGACTCTGCGACGGACCCAAAAACCACTATTCGTACTCTCCTTTTGGGGGACCATCTGCGAATTAGATTGGAAGCTAAAGAACCACTAGCTTTAGTCTCCTGGGCAACCTGTTTTTGGGCTCCGCAGAGACATTTAACCCTGGGTAGCACCCCCAGTGCTCGGTCTCCGCCTTGATGTCGCTGTGCAGAACCCTGCCAGGGTACAGGCTCCGAACAAATTATCCCCAAACATCCACCAACAGGAGGTTCCCTTTTTAAGGTGATGTTTAAACCACCTAAAAGCAAGGGACAAAAAGGGCCGAAAAGGTGATGTTTTTAAGGCTGAAAAGGGGAAACTCCGAACGAGCCCCGAGCCCCGAACAGAGCTGACAGATCCAATTCGTTTTCAAGTGAAGGTTCCATGTTTGTGAACAAAGGCCTTTTTCCTCAAGGGCGCCCCTTTTGGCAAGATCGACAACAAGTCCGGGTTGAGTTCGATCTTATCAGTTGACATTTGCTTATATGTTTTGCTTTCCCTTGTTCGTTTTAAAGGGAATCTGTCACTACCGGACATACTACCGGACATATTCCTATTCTTTCCAGGCGAAAAACCAATGGACGGATCAATCAAACACATGAACTCGTTCTCAGTTGCACGCCTGCGGCTGTGCAAGTGCTGCAGCCCCGCAACCAGCTGGTGCAGATCTGAAACCAGTTGCTCCCAGACCCACTTGGGGTTGTCGATGAGGCGGTCGAAGAGTGAGCACTGACAAGCCTCCATGACCATGAAGTAGATGTCCGCCTCCTGAAAACGCACAAGGCTTTGTCCCCGCAGCTGGCTGGCTGGTTTCCTTGTGGGGTTCCCTTGGTTCCTTTTAAAGCAAGTGCAAGAAAGGTACTCTTCAAAAGAAACAGGACGCGACCTCCCATTGCCACGAACACAAACAAACCAACAAAACAAAGCAATGCAAACAGAACAAACAAAACACACAAACAACAACAAAAAACAAACAAACAAACAAACAAACAAGCAAGCAAGCAAACAAACAAACAAACAAACAAACACACAAACACACAAACACACAAACAAACAAACAAACAAACAAGCAAGCAAGCAAGCAAGCAAACAAACACACGTACGACCCAACAAAATTGACGGACCCAAATAAAGCAAGGTTCAGGTCCAGTTTGGGCTTCCTTTTGGAATCAAAGACACATATAATATTGGATATTTACCACCCAGTGCAAACAGAAAACAAGAGAACCGCCCCAAACCCCAGCCAATGACACCCTAGTTATGTTCCCTTTGTTGCTCAGTCGCTAAACATGCCCTCAACACCACTCCGGAACTTCAAGTTTGGATTCAACTTCGCCAAACAAGCAACGCAGTCACCGGTTGGCATCTCAACACAGTGCCGGCGTTTCGTTTTCTTTTTTTCGCGCAAGAATTCGACCCCTTTTTTTCCGGACATTTCCGGATCGATCCTTTGGCGATCCGGATCGAGCCGAGGCGATCCGGATCGACGGATCGAGCGCGGGATCGATGGATCGAGCGCGTGCCTGGCACATCTGCAGAAAGTGCACCACGTTGCGATGGGTGGCCGACAACTTCCAGATCTTCGCCTCGTGCTCGATCTTCTTGGCCGCGGTTCGCCGCGAGGTCTGAACCTCCGCGAAGAAACAAGCGGCACCGAGTGACGGGAAACCTGGAAAAGACACCCTGGGCGAGATCCGGGCAAAGGGAAAAGGAACATGGGAAAGCAGAAAGGAAACTCTGACCTTGCGGAAAAATGAGACGGGGAAAGCTGGTAAATGAGGGATAAGAATAGATTATGCTGGTAAACGGAATGGATTCCACTGATAAACGCATGGACAAGTAGAAACTTGGATGTGACAAATGATCATTCATTAGGAACAAAGTGGGGGACAGGAACAAATGCACTGGTAGATGACGGTAGAGGACTAGAACACAACTGAGAACAGTGAAATAATTAATAGCGTTTCGGACGTTTCTGAACCAACAGGAAACGGATCCACCTACTTGTGACACGCCCTTCTGGCATGCCCTACATTTGACACTGTAGTCGGAACACTTGCAGGCTGTTGTTTGGACATGCTCGGTCAGGTTTTCCCTTGAATGGCCATTTCGCACCATCCGTGCCAACTGCATCCAACGTTTGTTTCAGAAATCGGGGAACCCCAACACAGCTCAGGTTTTCATTCGTTTCCTTTTGGTTTCCGCTGAAGAAGCCTTCAAGGGGCTCCTGTTTTTCCAACCAACCAATTGGGCTTCAAGGGCCCAGCAAACAGCTTGGGGGGAGGGAGGGGGAACAACAAAGCGAAGAGGCCCGCTCGCATTTTCACCGGCCTTCACCGCATAGGAGTTCTGCGAGTAACGTGCCTTCGCCAGAAAGACGTAGCCATAGGAGCCCTTGCCCAAGGCCTTGCGGCTTCGAACGCGTCGCACCAAAATCGGACTTCCGATAATTTCCGTCTGACAGCTTCCCTCCATTTGGTGGTTTGGATTGGGTTAAGTTAGTGGTTTCCCATTCTCCCCAAGAACCATGTTCAAACCACCAATTAAGGTAGCCAGTTTAGGGGTCCAAATCGAATCAATCTGGGGGCAGCGGGTATAAAACATGTGCTTTTCCTCAGCAGGAGCGTTTGTGGGCCCTGCGGTCCGTACCCTACCAAGCCTCGTTTGTTTGACTCCCCAAGCTCTAGGGTTCAAACCGGGGCTTGGCGTCCCCATGCTCGGGGGAAATCGAAGCAAAGCTTCCATACTCCCGGGAAATCAAACAAAACAACACAAAGTGGCTTGACTGCAACGACTTGGATTCCTTGGTCCGGGCCTTGCCGAGGCGGTAGTTACTGTAGAAGCTGCTGAAGTCCTCTGTTCGACCGATAGAGGCCCCGCAGCCCATGGACCATCCGCGCGAAAACGCTTGGGGCGTCCGTTCGGAAGGCCCCAAAGGGTTCCGGGCGTGAGACGGCCGTCGGCCTGAGCCGCGTGGCTAGCGGAACGGACACGAGAGCTGCGCGTGCCGCCTGACGCGTGTTCCTCAGAGTTGGGGATCGAGTCCTCCAGCTGGTTTTCCTTTTGGATTCCTTTTAAAACCATCAAACAAGTGTGCGATTCCTAGTTTGCGACACACCCTAGGACAAAGCACGAGCCAATCCACTTACCAATATTTTGCGGGTTGGTGCCCATGAGCTGCGAGTGGCTTGCTTGCACTGCTGTCTTGTGGCTTGCTGACAACGTCAAGGCTGTGTGCAGAACGAACCTTGGGTCCTACCGAGGAAATTCAGGATGCACCACAGAATAAATCGGTGGCATCCAGGCAACGTCTGAAAACCCCCGGCAAGGGAGACGCACAAATTTAATCGACACTAACTTTGGGGCCGTACGCTTGGAGCCACCGGTTCCAACTCCAATCTTCACCCCGCTGTCAAAATAGTGGGACCCCCAAACAAAAATGGGTGGCTTTCCTTTTCCTGTGAGGTCTAGTGAACCCCCTCCCTGGCAGATTTCCGGGGGATCGCGGGGCGCACGACAACCGTCCCTGGATTTGTTGGGTCCACCAGACCTGCGCTGCGGCGCGGGCCTGATCCATGTCCCGGGTGTTCCGGAACTGTGGGGGCATTGTGACCCCGTAGACCTTCGCACGGCGGCATCGGGTTCTAAATATTTGGTTCGGCTCGAGCTAACTAGGACCCGTGTCCAACTTGGTATGGTCTGTATACACTTTTGGGTGGAAAGTCAGATTGGACTCCCACCAAACAGGGTCAACGTGGGCAAGCACCTCTGGACATGCGCCGGCGAAAAGGAAGAAACTGGTCCGCACGTCTGCATTTGTCATCACAATGTGAACGAACTGAACAACAACAAATCAAACCCATCAATGTCTGGGGCCTGCACCAAGCCGCTCGAGTGTGTTTGCGATAAGGGCAAACAGCTTCTTTGGTTTGTTTCGCTTGTAAAGGGTTAAACCAACCCCAACGGCAAGAATAAGACCAATTCCTTTTCAGCAACACCCGTGAGGTTTTTGGACACCCACTGGTTGCAACCAGATTCCAGAGTGGATTGGACAAACAAAGTCAGCGCTTGTTGTTTGCCACTATGGACTTTTCCAAAACTGATTAAGGTCCAGCACCTTTTGCGTGTGTGTGTGTGTGTGCGTGTGTGTCGGATTACTCTGGTCCAGCGGGTGTGACCACAGCAACAATACCGTTCTTTTGTCCCAAGAAAAATAAATCCGTTTCGACAGTAGCCACTGGTCGGAGCATGCCAGAGTCATAGATCCAATCATTCAGAAGAGAAGCCACAAACAATGTTTGGTATTGGGTC